ACAATTTTCCGTGTCGAGTCAAATGGGCCAAAAATGGTACTCGGATCGAGAAGCTAGTTTACGTTGGCCCGAAATAGTGTCAGGTCAAATCTGATTCTGACCCTGGACTATAATCAAGGGCAATAATGAGAAAATATTGTCGTTTTCTCCCCGTTAACAGGATATTCGAGGGTCGAAACCTACACGAAAGCTCTTATGTCACTTACATAGGTTAGGCCTATTATGTAATAGCCTGAAAACCTTAGAAACGCGCACGCTAAGGGGCCGTATCACAGGTCCGACGCCTCATGAGTCCGAAATTTCGGACTTATGAGGCGTCGGACTTATGAGACATAAATTCCGCCTCATAGGTCCGACGCCTTATAAGTCCGACGCCTCATAAGTCCGACAATGGACAAACGCTGTTTGGGACTTATAAGGCGTCGGAGCTATGAGGCGTCGGACTTATGCTACATGGCGGAATATATAAATGTAATGCCTCAAGTCCGACGCCTAAAGTCCGAAATTTGACCTATGAGGCATCGGACTAATATGAGCGGACCCCACGCTAAGGATGCTCTTGCCCATGAAGTCTTGTTCTGTCGTATATTTGTCAGCGATTCCGTGCGAATGCGCGGTAGAATTAGGTGCAATCTGCATATCCAAAAAGCGAATGAACTGGGTTTTTTGGTACGCCAGCCTCGCTCGTTTTGGTGTCGGTAATATGGCAATGCCGCACAAAGTTCACCAACCGAGGAATTGTGGCTTTGGTGAGAAGTTTCTACTGAATCTGGAATAGAAATAATTATCTTTATATCTGGTTGAGTTGCAATGGAGGTATGATGTTACTAACTTAGGAAAGTGCTTGAAGATGCGTGAAGTACATAGAAACTGAGAAAAAAAAAACCGTGTATGAGTTTCCCACCGCAGTCCACGTGGTGCTGAAGGTCAAGTGTTGTTTTGGTCTCTCGCTAGGGTCCTGTCCAGGGTCCAGGGTCCGGGATTGTTGTTATGACCATGCCTGAGAATATGGCAGCGTTCCAGAAAACTCAAGTTTGTCAAGTGTACTGCAAAGTGATCTCTAAAAAGGGGTGATTTGGTTCTGAGAATGGCGTGTTAACTCTTCTGTGATGATGATCGTAGCATGCAAGTCGAAACATCGAGCTCGAGTTATAAACATTTCTCAGAATCTCCTTTAATTCTAGTCTGCTCCTTGATAGTTCGAGTTGATACGGCCTTACGGCGTTAGCATAAGCCATTTTTGTTGAAAACAAATATTTGCCAACCAGCTGCCAAACTATGGACGGTCCAACACTGCAAAAATGAAGAATAGTTATTAATGATTATAAAAAATATTATTTGATTGTTGCAAATACAAAATTATCAACAGACGCTACAAAATAAGTCCTAAATATATGCCTTTTTCTAATGTAATAAGGTGCTATGAGGACTTTTATTGAAAAAAAATGTTGCCAACCGCGTCTTCATTTTATGCGCTTGTGGCAGCCCATAAAATGTATCTCAGTGTTTACATTAATTAGAAAGGTCCATTTCAAGGAATTAATTAACGCGCGAATGTGTAACGATCAAGTGTTCCGGGTATACAGGTACTATACTGAATTGCATGGACACACAAGACAATAAAGATGATTGTTAAAGGGGAAAAACTGACCAATCAGTATAATGTATATTATTAATTAACTTCACTTCGCAAAAAGTCGATCTCTCGCAAGACGAACTCAGCTAATATTAATAATAAGGCGTTAAAATAGCTTGACGATATCCTTAATTATTTTATTTAGTCTGTAGTTCATTAAAGGAAGACACAATGTGCATTTACTATGTATACACGGACATGGACTGCATTCGCAATTCAACGTTCAGGCCTATATGTTTGGGGTTTTGCTTTTAAGTGACCTTGCCCTGTTCGCGAATTTTATGGCGATAGGAAAATTTCAAGTTGACGTTCGTAAAGGTTCGTATAACCACTATTGGCCACAGTCCAGGGCCGGGAAACCCACAAGGATTTCCCTTGCGGCCTTGGTGAGGTAAACACAAGAGGTTTGATAAATAGCGTCAGCTGATTGGGGGTTGGAGGACTTTATAAAAGGTCAACAGCTTCTGTTTAAAGAAGCCCCCCCCCCCCCCCCCCGGGTATTGTCAGAGAGGGTAAATTGTACGATTGTTGACAAAAACTTTCACTTATTTTATAACTTTTTCTTTGGTTGGATTGTATTCAAATTGCTAGTGAAGTTTCTGTCAATTTGGTTCTCGATATTGTATGTTAATTTTGTTGTTGATTGTAAGGGGAGCGCGGAACGCGGATACGGGTAGCTGGATCGCACGGTCGTGCGTTCCAGTTCGAAGAAAGAATAACGTGTACTTTTCTTTTGTTGACAGTCCCATCACCTGCATGCAGTGCCGATTGTCAGAACTGTGCTAGCTTGTTATTGCGAAATTCTAAGAAGTGATTAATTGTTGGATTATAGTTTTTCAAGGTCGTGAGCGTGATTGTCGGTTGCGTTGGAGCTGGGCAGGACGGTGCAGCGGCTCGCGAGCAAGGGCAATATTTTAAAGGCTGTAGCCTAGAAATTACCTGCTCGGAGAAACACCTACCGTTTTATTCAAAGTGGAGACAGGGCCCAAAAACCCTCTGAAATCATTCCAGTAGAAATGGTATCGATCCAAGGAAGTGACAATCATAGTGGGACCGTGCACTGGACTCGCACTCACGATCCGCGAGACCTCCAAAATAATGTGCATGTTTTCTCTATTGTCTTAAAAATGTATAGCCGTTGAGCTACAACTTGGTTATGCGTTAAAAGAAATAACATTTTTGTCATTTTAAATGGAAATTTAAATGCACAAAGAGCAAATTAACCTATGTACCTTTAAAGCCCGAATGACTGATCTGGGTTCTCGAAAAAACCCATGCTGCAGAAAGATTTATATAAGTGAACTTGAAAAACAGATGATGATGATTGATATATGCTGATGATGGTGAAATTGTAACGGTGGTGGTGCATGATGTGCATGATTTGTGATATTTTATATGAAACGTGATAATTGACGAAAACTTTGCGCTACCCCCTAACTGTACTTCAGTAAAATATACAGTTAGGCCTAAGGGGTTGTGCAAAGTTTTCGTCAATTATCACGATTCATATAATAAACAATATTTTTTCCTGGTGTTTGTAAGGTAACAAGTGGCAAGAGCGAGCTTCTACATGTCCCTTGGTAGTAAGTCGGTTGGTCTGTCTTTCTGTCTATCCGTCCCCGAAAATTGACACAAAGTATGGTGTTCCATATGCGCCATCGGCGTCGCATTTTTCGGCGTCACATTTTTCAAGCCCTGGCAGGGATCGTTTTGATCGATTTAATTTTCTGTAGGTCTGGCCGGGATAATTTGATCGGTTTCATGCTAGACCTCATACAACACGGCCAGAGATTATTGTGCACTCGCACTTGTTTTTATCGCTAAAAGTGCTGACTCGCGCGTACTTCCAGATACCCATATCTAAATGTGTGAAAGGGCGCTAATGGAATGTAAATGCAATTTTGTTATCATCTCCATTTATCTTTTTCAAATATTACTATACAGATTTGCCATTCAGAGTCACCATTGCAATATTGACTTTAATGCCGTATACACGTGATACAACAGGTGGAGAGGTGTGAGTTGTCCAGCACTTTTAAATACACACCACAAAGAGAGAAGTTCTAGTTAAAACAACACTTTACATTTTTTTTTATACTCGGTGATATATTATTTTGCTTGTCGTGCTCGTCATTCGACGCCAAATCTAGTTCGTTTGGGGATTGTATTGGAAAATCTGCCTGAGCTCACCTGCTTTTCCCCAAATTCAAAGTGAGGGACCGGGAGGGGGTGCCCAAAAAGGAGGCAAAGGGCCCCAAGCGGGTGGGATGAAGTGCCCTTCCCCCTTAGGCCTATATTAATACGCCACTGTGTAACCCCCCCCCCCCGATTTCGAGTAATTCTCCAGGCTCTCGATGGCCTGTGCCAGTGGCGTACCTAAAACCCGGTCCTCGGGCGAGGCTAGTGCGATCCCTGGCTCAACTTTAAATTATGTAGAACTAGAAGTGAAACAAAAGTTTCTGAATGAAACCGTAGGATGTATATAATGGTGCCTCTTCAGAAAACGAGAACGGCTACCCGGCCTGATATTCCTTCATCTATGAATATTGGGACCTCTCGATCTCCAGGCTTCACATCACATCACTGTATACCAGGTGAAATCGAAGCAGGAGCTTAAACGATGCCATTGCTATTTCTTGGAGAGGTTGAGATAAGATGTATTTTTGCTTCATTGCCCTACGTTTTGACCATCGATCGCTTGAGGGAAGGCCATTAAGGGGATCCACACAGCCACCTAAACCACCCAAGCCCCCCCCCCCTTCCCGATACAAGCCCCTGGGAAACTACCACCTTTCAAAATTCTTACGCAATCGTGAATTTGCTGATTTTTTTCCGCCAACAAATCAGTTTTATATTTGCATTGCGTCATTACTTCCATTAACCTTCAGCACCTGCCAGTTTTTGAGGAATCGCTCAAATTCAAGATCCCCCATCCAGTGTTGAATCGCAAACATTAATCAAGAGAAACTGGCTTTTCTTTTAGCTGTCAAATGGAAAATTTGCATACAATGGGGGCTTGGTGTTTTTTGCCCCCTAAAAACGTGACTGATATTTTCAGCTGGTTCAATCTATAACTCTGTTATTAGCCAAACTTCGCGAGAGTTTGTTTACTAAACTTTGATCCGTGCTCACTCAAAAGATATGATCATAAAATTATATGGGGTGATTATTATTGCGAGTGGACAAGCAACGCGCAGGCGCTTTGGAGTTGTTTACCCGCATGAAAGCCTTCACGCACGCGACCCCGATATTTTATTCGTCAATTGTTTAGACTCGGCAGCCAATCGCTGACCATGTTTTAATGCTGATTTGCATACAGTAGTGGCCTGGTCTATTGTTGGGGCGAGTATATAAGTTTGGTACTTTCCAAGTTTTCGGCATACCAAATCTGCCTCTGAATTGCTACTTATCTGAGTCTTTCCCAAGTTTTGCTTTACTTTGACGCAATCATGAGGCAACTGTTGTTGCTGTTGGTTGGAGTCGCTTTTGCGCGTAAGTATACTGTATTCATTTTAGAAGCGGATATCGGCAATATTATATTTTCTTTAAATTTTTGATGTATACGTTTGTAGTAGCATAAAAATTAACAAATAATTAAGAATGATACATATTTGCAGATGAACACTCTTCTTTGAACACTCTTCTTTGAACACTCTTCTTTCAGAAGCTTTTACTGTTCTGTATAGTGTGTGCTCTTGAATATTTAATTTTAGTTAAGACAAAATTTCAGCTTGGTTGCAACAGCAGACTCTCTCACAAATGCAACCAAGCTGAAATGTTGTCCTAAATAAAGTTAATGTATATGTTTGTATCGCTTGGATATGCATGATCAAACATTTTGTGCTTTCATTGTTAATGAATTTAAATAGCAAAGAACAGGCTAAGCTATACCTGCAACGATGTTGGAGTGTTATAATTAGCACCCCATTTCTTCCACTAAAAATGTTTGTGAATTTGCCAGCCCATTATTTTATAAGATTTGATCTTCATGTATTATGGCATGTATGCTGCGAATCTGAAGGGGAACAAAAAGATTTCATATAGGTGAAAAGATATTATCCTAGAAGTGTCAGTCTTCGAAAAAAAATAATAATAATTACGAAACTCACAACGAATGAAAAATTGACGTTTGAAATTATGGTTTTCAATGTTTTAATAGACTAGAAGATTTAAGATTAGATATCCTAAACAAATATTAATCTAATGTGCAGCAACACATTATGTGGTTGCCATTTATACTTTATGTAACGGTATTTTATGCAATATTTCAGCCGTGCAAGTAGGCCTACTTACGCCACGAAACTTTTTTCTTCAAATAAAGAAGACTACACAGAAAACACTTCATTTGCATACAAAGGGTTTCGCAAACTTCTTTTCGTAGTTCATGAAGGGGTGCGTTGCAAAACTAAAACCAAATATCGGACAGTCACCCTAATTATCAATTATTTATCTTTAAACTTCGGCCCCCTCTGTCGTACCATGTCGTCCTTGAAATGCTTGATATTTGTTCTCGAAACTCTTGTATTTACCAAAGATTGTGGTGACTTGGGACGACCCCGATCAAAGCAAACAAATACTGTCATTAAGAGCGCTCGGCAAAAAGTAGTCTTATGATCAGATATTCACGTGTGTGCGCACAGAGCCACGGTCGAACGTCTGATCCTAACCTGCACAATTACGCGCCAGCCAATCGGAGTCGACTTTTGAAACACTGACGTCATTTCGATCAGAAATGTGGACTAAGCTGTTGATTGGTCAATTTGGATGCCATGCTTTTGTAAAAAAAAAAAAAAAAAAAAAAAAAAAAAAAAGGGTTACGAAAGACCCGAAAAAGAAGGTGCCCGCTGAATGGTCAGAATCTCGAGGTCAAGACGCAGTCTTGTTTTGCATAATTAATCGCCGAATCTGCTCGCATATCATAGACCCTTGCTGTGCAAGATGATATTCCATATACAAAGCTGATCAAAGAGGCAAATATTTTCCCGTTACCTAAAGTCTCAATTAAAAGGGGCGGGGCTTCCTCTCCGAGTAACTGACATGGTAGGCCGTTGCCATTATTTTTTTCCAATTTGAGGTTACCTCCTGCCCTGTAGGCATATTTGTAGTTTTCCCTGAAATTTATCAAATATATCGCAGTTAGCTCTTGCCGAGCAAGGATTATTTCATTGTGTTAAAGTGTCTTGCCTAAGAACACAAGCCGTCATGCACCTGGCTAGCGACAAGCTTGCCGGTTGGACTATTGTATTATACTTGATAAGCATTCGTGGAAACAACTTAATCCAAGATGATAACAATCGTTTGGTAACAGGTTTGCAAAGTCTCTGTAAACAGAAAGAATAATCCCAAACAAATACAAATATGAGGGCTGGGCTATGTCTGGGGGCGGCTATTTGAAGACCGACCGACGCGATTCGTATAATGATCAGGTAATATTATTTGACTTTTGAATTAACTTTTCCCCTTTTTATGTTTTTTTTCTTCAACTCAGATGCCGCTGTTCCTACCCAGGAAGGTAAGTGATGTTTACATTATTCACTTGACAAAACAATCTTTATAATGGGGAAGCTTTGAATTGGGGCCAAGGTCTTGTTAATATAATGCCCCATGAGGGCGCTATGCACGTCTTATGGATAGTCGGATGCTTATGCTATTCCCAGATGATAAATATACGATGGCTATACTGGGAACCAAACACGTCGAAACAAGTCGTCTGCTTCCGAATTCTGGACAGACACATACACACATCAGTCTTGCAAAGCTCAAAATTGGGCCAAACTTTCTCACCGTCTGGGTCGATGAAAAGAAAGGAAACAAAGGTTGGATCTTCAGTATTTCTCCTGGTACGTTTGACGTTTTCTTCGACATGATGCACTCCGTGGACTAACGTTAAACTCCGTGCCAAATCACTAATTTTTCTCTTCATTGACCTATCACTAGAATCAGCCATCAGAGTATTTAACTGAGAAAACACTAAGAAATTTTCAGACCAGTCTCATAGGGTTTGTGCACAGGGTGACAAGTGATGGCCAGATATGGAAATCATTCCGCTTTATGTGTTTGGAATCATCGGGTAGTTCGCTAAGAATACATGTTGAATATCATTATCACTAATCAGCTAGGCTTAATTGTGTGGGAAGAGAGCACAGAGTTTTGATTTACACGTATGAACGGAACTTACTACACGATTAGGCCCTACCATTTTGAAGGGTTAAAGTTACATTTAGCTTGTAAAGTTGTATGTAAGTTGGAGGCCTTCTACTTTTACTAATGTTTAATTACATTGGTGGCAAACATTGGGACTTGTACAAACTACAAACTTTTCATATCATTTTCTATGAATTTTCACTATTGTTCTGTTATTTTTATTGTTTTCTTAGGGTACTTTGCGGCTGGGCGTGAGTACTTGTACCGGTATGAAGGTCAGGTACTCAGCGGGATCCCGGGGGTCAGTAAAGAAGTGGCAGGCATCAAGATTGTTGCCGACACGCGCATCCAGATGAGGGATGACAACAAATGTCTACTGGAGGTAAAGTACTTTTAAGGCCAAAAAAAAATAATAATTCGGTCTCTGGTCAGCGTGCGCGTCGATTTTAATCATGCGCGTCAATCTTTTTTTTTCCAAAATGTTCCGTGGTAGCTCCAACAGCGCCCTCTATTGCCGCACCTCCTCAATTGTTTTTACCAAAGAGCACCAAGGAATGGGAAATTGCACCAAGGCAAATGATCGGGAGCACCAAGGCAAATTATGGAGGACACCAATGTACACGAGGACACCAAGTAGCAAAATAGTACCCCACCTTGTCTGTACAATCCAAGCTTGAAGAAAAAAAAAGAAGAAGCCAAATAAAAAAAAAAAAAGCCGCGTCAATTCCGGAACTTTGGTCTTACCAGAGACCGAATATTTTTTTTTTTTGGCCTAAGTTTTATTTTTTTTCATGGATGGTTTTCTACTATTCGCTCCTTTTCATGGGAACCCCCACCATTCACTCCCATCCCAACCACCTACCCTAAAAAAAAAAGAACAAAACAGAAAAAAGGAAAGAATTTTGTAAACCTGATGCTGCTTTTTTCATCATATATCATCTCAATGAAGGTCAGCAGTTGCAAAAATTATGATAAGATATGAATCTGGGACTGAGAAACATTTCCAATTTTGTTAAGATATACTTAAAATTTTCTTTACTCTCCATAGACTTTGTACACAACTGCTGCAGTAGTGTCAGGTTGCAACATTCTTTCCAGAAAAAAACTAAAAACATTAAGCAGAAGACAATAAAGCAAACAACATACCCCCAAACCCCACACAAACAAACAAACACGCCAACAAAAACTAAAAAAAAAAAAAAATCCTGCCCCCCCTAAAAAAAAAACATGGCACCCAAAATCCAACATACACAAACAAAAATTATAAAAACAAAAATAAACAGAGTGAAAATGTGAAAAACAAATGCTCTTGAATACCAAAAGCTTGCCAGTGTTTCAATATGTTACTGTGAAAAGGTCATGGTTTAAAATTCTCTGATGAAGGAAAAATACCATTTCCCATTTCATATCTTTCATCAAATATTTACAGAAAAAAACACAGTACTATGTGTATGTTTAAGGTTGGTCCAAAAAATAAAGATTTGTAAGATTGTAAGATATGCCCCTTCCCTGAACTAAACCAACGCCTCTTCTATCCTGTGCAGAATTTTGTGTTGTTTTTCAATCAATCAACATCCAACCATTATTTTTGACCATTCCTGCAGTTGGAGGAAGTGGAATTGTCCAAGCTTCAGACAGAGACAGAGAACCCGGCCAAGCAGCAGAGCCAGGACAAACTCCAGCGTCTGCAGCCAGAGATTGAACAACCCATCCTGCACCAGCTGGTCAAAACCATTGAGTTCAGATACGTGGATGGAAAGGTGGGTCAAATCAACACAGTCCAGGGCTCCAGGCCCGTTCCCTGATCCGAGTCTTGGGGGTTCGTCAAACCCCCAAGTCGAACTTTTTATATGCGAGTGCGGAGCCTTACGGCGTGGGGTCCTGGGCTCACTAAAGAACCCAGGAAATTTTTGGATTTTAGGTGTTCTGTGGTACAGTCTGAGGCATTTCTTGGCCACTTTCACCTGATTTTTTGAGAAAAAGTTTATCACTTTGTTAAATTTCTGAGCGTAATTCGTCACCGAGCGGGGGCCCCCAAATCCCCCAGCGTACAGGCCTGACAGTTGGTATAGTGAACTGAACGGGATAGCTTGGTACTGCATACTGTAAGAATTGCCACTAAATAGTAGAAAATGTCATATACATTGTACATGTACATTGATAGCAACGTGGGTAGATTGAAGCTCAAAGCCGAAGAGTCGAACCAGTGGAAAGGGCCAAATGTCAGGACTGCTTATGACAAGCAAGTAATCACTGCTAACAGTTTCAAAAAGTTCTATAGAGGAAAAAAAGAAGAACATTTTTCACAGAAAATCAAAGCGAAGATTTACACTTGGCTTGTGTGCATGCAAATAGTCCGGCAAGCACAGAATTTCTGCCTTAACATTGTACATTTCTGTGTTAATTTGTTGCTGTATTGCAAATGAAAGAATCTGGAAAATTCCACAAAAGTAAGTTTCTTCTTCTGAAAAAAAACCCCCACCCTACTAAGCCCTTAGGCAGGTGTTGTTCAGAACAGAACTAATAAGACTTCTGGCCAGACATTTATGTTGTTAAAGGTTTTGTTAATACAGTCTGTTCATTTTGTTGGTCTCAAGATTTTGGGGTTATATTCAGTCCCACTAAATATTTTAACTCAAAAAAAAAAAAAATGTAATCTAAGTTTTGTTCCGAATACAATACTGAATTCTTTAAAAGTTAGGTTTCTCACATTCTGGCATCTGAAGGAACCAGTCTTGGCCTCTATCTATCGAGAAGGTTTTTATTTTTGTATTTTCAAATCTCTAAATTTGATTGTGAAATTTTTATAGAATAAGTGACTTTTGTTTTAAAAACTAATAATGACATTTGTGTTATACGAAATGTTAGGTCTCCCACATTGTGACATCTCAAGATGAGCCGGTGTGGTCTGCTAACGTCAAGAAGGCAATCTTGGAACTGATGCTGGTCAACATCCGCGGCACTGATGACTTGAATGAACCAGACTCACAGAGCACACAGCCTGTAAGTAGCTTTCGATTATTGATCGATTTGTTAGATCATTGATTGATAATCGAATTTAATTGATTGATAACCATTGTTGATTGTCAAATTGGGTGAATTGGTAATCGATCAAACCGTTATCATAGAGCACTTAGCCTGTGAAAAGCTACCTAGACTTATTTTTATAGACTGATTGATAGATTGATTTGTTTATCAATCAGCAATCAAATCAATTGATAAATCTGATCAATAGACTGATAGATTTGATCAAGAGATTGACTGATGGATTGATTGAGAGATTGATCAATCTGTTGACTGAATAATTGATAAATGGTTCCAAAGACTGATAGATTGATTGATAGATTAATTGGTTTGTCAATCAGCAAGCGAATCAATAGATCAATTTGATCAATAGACTGATAGATTTGATCAAGAGATTGACTGATGGATCGATTGAGAGATTGATCAATCTATTGACTGATCAATTGATAAATTGATCCAAAGACTGACCGATTGGTTGATCGATTGATTGGTTTGTCAATGAGCATTCAATGAATCAATTAATAAATTGATCAATAGACTGATAGATTGATCAAGAGATTGACTGATAGATTGACTGATGGATCGATTGAGAGATTGACTGATAGATCGATTGAAAGATTGATCAATCTAGTGACTGATCTATTGATAAATTGCTCCGAAGGAGCACGCAGCCTGTAAGTAACTTCAGATTATTGATCAGTTTATTGGATTTATTGATTGTTAACTTATTTAAATTGATTGATAACCATTGTTAATTGTCAAATTAGGTGAATTGGTAATCGATCAAACCGTTATCGTAGAGCACTGATGAGCCTGTGAGAAAAGCTACCTAGACTTATTTTGATAGACTGATTGATAGATCAATAGGATTGTCAATCAGCAATTGAATCAATTGATAAATTTGATCAATAGACTGACAGATTGATCCAGAGATTGACTGATGTATCGATTGAGAGATTGATCAATCTATTGACTGATCTATTGATAAATTGATCCAAAGGCTGATAGATTGATTGATCGATTGATTGGTTTGTCAATCAGCATTTGATGAATCAATTAATAAATTGATCAATAGACTGATAGATTGATCAAGATATTGACTGATAGATCAATTGAGAGATTGATCAATCTATTGACTGAATAATTGATAAATGGTTCCAAAGACTGATAGATTGGTTGATAGATCAATTGGTTTGTCAATCAGCATTCGGTGAATCAATTAATAAATTGATCAATAGACTGATAGATCGATCAAGAGATTGACTGATAGATCGATTGAGAGATTGACTGATAGATCGATTGAGAGATTGATCAATCTATTAACTGATCAATTGATAAATTGATCCAAAGATTGACAGATTGGTTGATTGATTGATTGGTTTGTCAATCAGCATTCGATGAATCACTTAATAAATTGAATCAATAGGCCGATTGGTTGATAGATCAATTGTGCAATAAATCTATCAATATGAAGGAACAAAGTGTTTAATTTATAAAAGCACATTTGGTTTGTCTAATAATTTGAAAACTGTTTCATTTATCTTTTGTTTTCATTACAGAGCAACATTATTCGCCAGAAGGAACACTACCGTGTGATGGAGGTGAGTTGAAACTAAACAAGGCTGCATGATTGACTAAATATTGGACAACAATATGCGAAAAATTGAATGTGAAGTTGAAACGGGGTTGCTTGAAGGCAAACGCTTTAACTCCAGTACCAGAAGTCTGCATAACAATTGCCTAATTAGTTTGCTTGTTTGGTTTTCAGAGAGGCATCGCTGGTAACTGCGAGTCGGTTTACAACGTCAAGGTTTCTAAGCCCGTGTCCAACATCATCGACAAACAAGTGCAGCGTAAGTCACCAAACAGCATCCAGACTGCAACCGGTCTTAAACATAGGCCACGTTCGGGCAAGGACCGTTAGTCGACTAGTGGTTGATTTGTGACGTACCTTACGCCTGCGCACTGATAGCAACGTGCGAACGTCTCTAGTCAAACGCTGGTCAAAATGCCATCGCAAAACTTTTGGATTCTGGCTCCCAGCTGTACGTTATGAATGTGCGGGGCTATTGGTTATCAGGGATGCAACCAGCCCCAGTAGGTTGGTTCCAAATAGTCGACTAGCGTAGTCAACCACTGTCGACTAGACAGAGTTCGAGCTAACTTTAGTCAAACTATGGTCAACCAATGGTCAACAATAGTTCTTGTGCGAACTTGCCCTTAGTGTTTAATATCGACCAAGCACATATTTGTTCCTATTCATAAATACCTTTTCGGTCAAAAAATCAAAACTTTTCGGTCCAAAAGTCAAAACAAGTCAAAAATTATAAATTTTCAATGATTTTGATCAACAAAACACCCCTCTAGCTATACAATGGTAAGGCCCTCTGGTAAACAACTCCTTATATGGAGCGCGTACTGCATGATGTGGCACACAACGCAGATGTACCGGTGTAGTGTGAATTTAGGACAATGAAATACTGACTCACTGGTAGTATTGCACATACCTACGTGAGGATTGTGAACGTTCAACCAATAAAACGGTGCTGGCACTGGATTTCATAGGAGTCAAAAGTTCATGTGACACTGGACAAAGTTGTTAAGACCAGCCAGCAATGTCTTTATCATTCATTTAAAACCGGCCACATGACGGGCTCTCGACCAATAGGAATGGGTAAACTGTCTTAGGTATTTATGAATTGTATTTAAACTGAGGAGCAAAAGCCCCACCCCTGGCCCTCAAACCTATAACACTGGTGATTGAATTGTGAGTGTCAGCCTGCACTCATGTAATTAAACACATTTAATTTGCAAGTCTGATTTTCTGACTTATTCCACTTAAAGGGAAGATACAACATTTGCAAACATCACAAAACGAAATGATCAAATTATCATGAAATACCTTACTGGATTGTTAGGGACTGACAGTCTAAAGCATCCTGTGAAATCATGGCTCCTGGTGTGCTATCATTCTCAAGAAAAATTGTATTTTTCCAACGCTGGTCGGCCGACCAGCGTTGGAAAAAAACTGGCTTTTTTCAAAACCTGCTTCTAATTTTTCATAATTAGTTATTCATTGTTTTCTTTGCAATTGATTGCACACCTTAGAAGGGGTACAAGCCTGCTAGACTGATTCTCTGACTTTACAATTCCCAAAAGTCTATAAATTGCTCCGTTTCATCTTAAGTGGGGTCGGGGAACCAGACTACAAGAACAGGATTGGTTTTCTTGGTTTTTCCAACATCTACAAGCCCAAAACGTGAAACAAGCCATTTTAACAATATTGCTATAACATACTAATCCTCCAAACCCATTTATTTCTGAAAATTGCAGCAAAAGCAAATGTTGTACATTCCCTTTAACCTTTTTAAAAAACTATTCAATTCTTGTGTAAACAGCCAAGCGCTTTGTCCTGAACATCACCAAGACCCGTGACCTCATTGAGTGCCAACAGCGCACCCAGCGCTCCAAGCTTTCCATCCTGGCTGGCAAGAAGTGCGAGCGGTGCCAGAAGGAGCAGCAGGAGGATACCCAGCAGCCTCTGACAAATGAACCGATCCCAGAGCCCTTCAGCCAGCCCACTGAGAAGAAGGAGGATCTGATGAAATGCCTCAGCCAGGTACGGGGCTTATTTATATAGGTTTTTCCGGCTATTTTAAAACGTTTATCATTCGAATTCACCATTTCTAATATTTAAATTCGTGGATCAACATCGATTTGGTGCACGTCCAATGTTTAATATCATCTTTTGTCAGACAATTTCAAACTTAGTCCAAACAGATTCAAAAAATGAGCACATGTTTTTGACCCGGTGTATTCGATTTCATCTCGTCAACGCCGAATCGTGTTATTCAGGAATGAAATTCGTCTATTTGATTTATATAAGACGAATTTGATCTCCGAATGCTGCCATTCCGCAATAGCTTAGACGAATTTGATCTGCAATGACGAATATTCTCGACCGATGACTAAAAAGGGTGACCAAACTTTAAAATTGAATGGTAAATGACTAAATTGGTTTTCTTAAAAGCATGTGCAATTTTTTTTTGGACGAAGTTGAATGTTAGAGTTAGTGAATCGGAATAAAAAATGTTTTAAAATAGGCGGGAAAACCCATATTATTATTAAGTTCTAGCCTAGTTATAGCCCTCCTTCTCAGTGTGCTAAATTCAACGAACTCATCCCATCAGTCAAAATCAATTGAGTTACTTTTTTTTTAACAGTTGAGTACTCCCTGCCTAGATAAAGCAGGATTGACTGGCTGTGACTGTTTAGGTAACTTGATGTAGCTATGCTTTGATTGTAGGAGATCGATAAGCCGGCTGTACCTACAAGTTACTTGCTTTTGTCTGTTGATGGAATGGGACTAGATCACAGTGCCTTCAAGAAATATGATCTGGCTGTTAATGATTAGTCTTATTGGTATGGAGGGGGGGGGAAGTGGATTGAATTTTTGACTGTCTGTGACTGATCAAACAGTAGGAGGGCTAGCTAGAAAACCTACTTTTGTTTCGGTTTTGTAATGTACTTGAAATTGACAAAAACACAAGTTGTTATGTTTTTAGTCAAATAACCCAAAATAGACCTCTTTGTTGACAACCATTTCTAAGACAATTCTGAATGTGCTCTTGTAGGTGCGTTACAGCATCAGTCTGAAGGACCACACCAAGTTTATGATCGACGCCGTGGTGGCCGAGGGCAAACACATCTTCCAGCCGTTTGGACAGAAGGGTGGACGGGCGGTCACATTCGTCAAGTATGCTATTGATTAAAGCTAGATCGTTTGCAGTTACTCGGAAAAATACCAACAAATTAATGACAGAAACCTCCCTAAACTTGAAGATAGGACTGTTAAAAATTAAAAATCCCCAATGAATGATATTTTTAAATTCTGCATTAAGATTGCAGCAACCGAACTGGTGTTTTTTTAAAAAAAATTTATTAAAAGCATTGAGTGTCTTTGTTTATTCATGTTGTACATAATTATTCCCCCTGCGCAGGCAACGTACTAAAAAGAGTAGTCCGTTTTGCTTCATTTTTAAACTACTACAATATTTGTTGGTCAAAAAAATTAATATTTCAAAAGTTCGTCTTTAAGATATAGCCGTATAAAGTGGTGAGAGCCCCTTTAACCAGAGTTGAAATATTGACCCCGGAAATCATAGCCAAACCCCAGCCCCTCTGACAAGAACCACATGTTTGTTAATAAATGAAATCCTTATCTTGCGTCTAGCCAGCCTGGCTGTTTGCAGTCTTAGGACCACTGTACAACTTACACTTATAAATCATAACCTGATGTTCCATTACACGAGTATTTGTATGAGTTCTCATATGGGTGGCATGGGTGGCTTGTGCGTAAAGCGCTCGCCTCTCACCAAGGTGTCCACGGTTCGAATCCTGGCCGCGGATCGCATGTGAGTAGAGTTGTGCCTTGGTTCTCTCCTGTGCCACGTGGGTTTTCTCCGGCCCCTCCGGTTTTCCTCCCTCCGGAAAAATCAAACACTTTCGATCTCAGGCTGTGCTCCGTGGTCATATATGGGTCGATGTGGCCGGTAGCCATAGGCGCCTTTACGTGCCAGCGGCCCGACCACGTTGTAGCCACGTCCTTCGCAATTCAGCATACCAGCTGCGAGTAAGGATGATTAGCCTCCCAAATTATTATTATTATTATTATTATTGAAGGGTATAGACCCCAACGCTAGGTGCAACTAAACACTTGTAACGTTGTGACAACTGACAAGTATTCTGTTTTTTACCTGTGCAGCCAAACCTTCATCCTGAAGAACACACGCGAGACACCCGAGGACCAACTCATCCCCGACGTGACGAACCCCAAGCAACAGCCCGAGGACCTTCGCTTCGTCTTCCAGGATTGGACCAAGCACCAGCACGACGCTGAGGAGGACCGTGAGCTGACGGCCGAAGACGGACCCCACATGAGCCAGATCCGCCATAAGGTATCGTTTTTTCCCCTCAAAAGTTCAAATCAATGTCAAAAGTTGCAGGAAATATGCAATAGATCCTCTCACATTTTTAATGAGGTTATGCCAGTGATAGCTTTGTCATTATTCATTTACATGGGTCTTGATCCTGGATTGAAGTCAAAATACAGTACTTCACAGTATTTCAAGGATTCTTGAAAATTAAAAAAAAAACATTATTTGCAGAAGTTTCTCTGGAGGTAGTTAGGGTTAAAACCCAACAATGTCAAGTATCTAAGTCCAGCATCACTCTTTTGGGGAAAATTCTTATAAATAAAAAATTTCAAAGGCAAATTTAGAGTGTGATGGCGTTCCCTTCAACTTAATGCTTGAAAACCCATCTACAACAACAAAGATACATTTTATAATTTATAAGGAATTGTATCAGGAGATGTTCTGAGAGAGTTTGCGATATCCAGGCAGATTTCTAACAATTGCTCACCATTTAAACCGGGGATGATAGTTACAAGGACCAGGTAGAAACTGACGCTGAATGACACAAATCTGGCCATAAAAATATTTCCAAAAACTCCAACAATGATATTGAAAAATGAAACAACCCCTACCCCCCCCCAACAAAAACATAACATATCAACCAGTCTTTCCCAATCATATGTACAAAATATTGTTATGTGGTTTCAGGTGAAGCTGTTCCTTCAGACGATCTACGACAGTATCCATGACGACCGCATCACCGAGGACGCCCCCAAGCGTTTCATCCTCTTGGTCAAGACGCTGAACAAGTTCAGCCCCCTGGAGCTCACCCACATCTATGACAGACTCGGCAAGAAGTTTGCCAGCGACACGGAGGATGTCAAGGAAAAGAAGTAGGCCATTCCTTGAGATACTTCTCATGTATTGCTGTCCATTGCAGCCCTTTCCTCTTATAAGATGTTCTCATGTTGGCTCCTTGCGTAATCGTTTAAGGGGCGCTGTGCTGATCAATCATCAAGTTTTCAGGTTCAAAATTGGTTGCCTCTACTATGTCCAATACACATGCGTAAACCATGTATGTCAATAGTGTGGACATTCCTTGCGTCACTGTGAATTTCTAATTTTGTTTGGCAGGCAAATTCTGCTGGATGCGCTCATCCAGGTGGAGAACGACAAGTCCGTGGAGATTCTGATCGACCAGATTGGCAAGAGGAATCTCATCAAAGAGGAAGCCAGTCAGATCCTGAGCACCATCGCCTTGATCAATGAGCCCACGGAAGACATGCTGGATAATATCCTGGTAAGTCATCTCAAATCAACTGTTAATCATTTAAAGTCTGGGGCCAAACTTTAAGCACTGCTCAGGGTGAGGTGGCTTGCCCAAGGACACAGTAAGTGGACAGCAGCTGGATTTGAACCCTGACCCTCTGATCATGTGTCACGAACCCTAAAGCCTGCCTCAGGTCGACCTTGCGACGACATAGATCAGTCGGCGACTGACTTTTCAGGATCAAGCTGTGCCTGAGCTACGACCGTCGGGAACATTTCAGTTGCCGATTTTTTGCGACCTGAGTATAACTGCGACGATGTTAAGACGATCGGAATTAGTCGGCACTAAAAAAGATCAACAGTTGCAAGAGTAGAAAAATGTCAACTTCTATGACGACGTTATGATCCTGTGCGCATCAAGATCATCCTTTTCAATTGTTTAGCCAATCAGCACACTACACTGGCGCTCTGCGCGTTCTGCGCAACATCACGCAGTACCACCACGCGTGCGCATTAATCACCATATAAGGGGATTGTTTACCTACTCGCGAGAAGATATTCCATACATAGCTAGAGGGATGTTTAAAAAAAATGAAGTAAAACTGTTCAACAAAATCAAATGTATAATTTTTTACTTGTGTCGACTTTTTGACTCAGAGGTATTTGCGAATGGGAATACCGCAAGTACATTTAAGACCGTATCAGGGGAATGCGCGCTGATAACGGCTCGAGCCGAACCGGCCAAACACATATTTACTCCCTCATTGGTAAAGAAGTCACGTGACTGTCTATGCCGTGGAATCGTGGTGGATAGTTGCATCGAGGGTGACATGAGCATGGTTGCGATTATTTTACGTCGGGATATAAATGCCGCTTTTTCAAGAGAATCATACGATTTCTCAGTTTTGTGACCTGAGCATTATTTTTCTGCTTGATACCGACAGTTCCGTCGTGGCGCAAGCAATCGTGGGTCGACCTGAGGCCTGTTTAACTACTAGGCCACTCTCTCCCTATATTCCATTGAATACAGAGCCCCCCCCCCCCTATTCCATTTTCAATCTTGGTCTCTGTGTGTGTCTCTCTCAGCGTCTGTGCAAGGGCCCCGTCCTCAACGGCATTAATGCTGACAAGCAAGTCAGGAAGACCTGCTGGCTGAGCTTTGGCTCCCTGGTCCACAAGGCCTGCAAAATCAACCAGATCTGCTCCGAAGTCAAGAAGCAGGAATATTCACTGGTAAGAGCTGGTTCTTCTACCGCAAACATGAATACTCAAAGTTATGTAAATTTTCTTGAATTCAAGAAGTACTTTCATTGCTTTTTGAACAATTCGGGTGATTCACAATGCAGTGCGCCACCAAGAGTTTAATGCCACCGAGAGTTCAATTTTCCCAGTGCATTGTGGGAGATGGTCGTCAAATTCGCAGGGCAGGACATTTGAAATTGTTCGTTTTTCCGGTCAGCAGTTTCGTAAGCGTATGATTCGAGGATCTGTTTGCCTTTTCTTTTCTTGTTATCAATGTTGTGTTTTTTTTTGTACGGTCAGAACGTATATACCCTAATCTATAACGAATTAGCTCCAGTTGTCTACTGACATTCATTCAAATGGGCAATGTTTTGTCGACCGTAAACTTTGAAAATGGGCTCTCCATGGCAAACTCTTGGTGGCGCACTGCATTGTGAATCACCCGAATTGTCTCGTTATTAATTTTTACCTTCCAGTATTTTATTTGTGACAGAATAACTATTTTCCTTCGATTTTAGGCGTCTGTTATTTTTTTGCAAAATATTTGTATTGCAAGAAAAATAATATTTTGACAACTCTAGTTTTCGGGTTGAAACTGAAAGTAAAAATAGCACAAAACGGTTCACATTCAAGGAGCTTCTTATTACTTAGCCTTCAAGTAGGGAACTAGTGATGGGGGAACTTTAGACAGAAACCGGCAGAAATTGAGAAGAAATGAAATATTTTGATGCATCACAGATGATTAGCTTAACTTGCTTATGAAGAAAGAAAACTTATATATGATCCTTCTTTAAAAAAAATTGTTTATAGGATCAGAGTACAAACTGAAAATGGAAGATAGTTTGATTCCCGTTACTGATCTGAATTAAGCCTTTTTGTATTTCATCAACAGAACCTGCTGGCTGGTATCGACCCATCACGCACCCCAGAGGACCAGCGCATGTGCCTCAAGGCCATCGGCAACGCTGGCCTGATCCTGAAGCAGACGACAGACGCCGAGACCGACTCCATCGACAGGATCGCTGAGATCATCAAGTCAAAGACCGTGGATGTTGATCTGCGCGTGCAGGGCATCTACTCGCTACGCCGCCTGGCCAAGAATGAGCCACAGAGGGTGAGTAGAGTTACCACCCTCTTCCTTCATTTGCATAACTCCTCCCCCTCCACACATAAGCCCTCCACATTTGCATAACTCCTCCTTCCTGGTTAGGTGTTTGTATTCAGGAAATCAGTGGGCTTTCACTCTAATTCGCGTTATTAAGGTTTGGAACCAAACTACACCGTGGGTTGCATTCCTCTATTTTGTTTCATGCACATTTAAATCTCGAAAAACATCTTTCAACAATGAACAAGTTGTCTTTATTCGATTGTCTCAATGTAAACTGCTGCATTGTTAATCAGTTGCAGAGGGAAGCGGAGAGTCATTGATAAACATTCTTAACCAGATAACGCCGGGATTATTTTGACAAGAACATAAAAGAGTCATATCTACCAATTTTAGTCAGCGTTTAGGTGCTTGTTCTTACCTTTTGTTCCCTCTTTAATTATTGCAACATCTTCCATTTTGAGAACACTTTTAGTTTAGAGTTCATTTCTTTGATGAGCTCTTTTACTAATGGTTCCACTTAGTTTGGGATCATGTCTTGCATTCTGAAAACATTCTTAGTTCTGAGTAAAGTTCTCAATTGTTCTCATTTGAATACTGGTCAAATACGGCATTTTGATGACAGTATTCTTATTTCTTAGCTACTTCACATAAGGATCCCTCGTGGATGAGATTTCCTTCCCATTTTGAGAGCATTTTTAGTTCTAAGCTTTATCCCTGCCTTGTCATTTCAATGCCCCAGGTTGTGCCCCTCTTGATGCCCTTCGTCAAGAACATGGAGGAGGACCCCCAGGTCCGCGTCGCCGCCTACGTCATCATCATGGACGCGGAGCCCAAGGCTGACGTGGTCCTGTCCATCGTGAATGACCTCAAGCAAGACAAGTCCAAGCAAGTGGCCAGCTTTGTCTACAGTCACCTGGAGGGGCTGGTCTCCAACTACCAATACTGCAAGAAGAACCTGTAAGTTATTTCATTTTATTTTAAGGTGTTGTTCAATTATTCTTGTTCCTTAGTTGATTACTCGTTGTGTGTTATCTACTTTAGGGATCTTCTCAGTATGTACTGCTACTTTCAGCAATATAAAAGAAAGTGTTTATATGAATGAACATGCAAAATTGTTTGGGGCATTCCCTAAACCATGGCATTGTCCCAGCTTTGGTTTCATATACCTGTCTCCAGAAACCATTAATGGTCACAACTTTGGCCTCATGTATCGAGTCTAATGTGTGTCACAGAGAACATGGTTTAATATTGTGCAAGATTCCCAAACTTAGGAGACTGAAATCTGTTTAACCTGTCCAGTTCGTTAGTAAAAACGTCGCACACGCACGCACCACTGATTACAAGCGCCCATTCGCTAAACACTCAAGTTGCATTAACTTCCGGTTTTATTCGTGCTATGCTACACCATGTGAAGTAGGCATGGTTACGTTGAGATGACGTCACACTAACGAACCGGATAGCACAGGTGCCATAATGTATTACATTGTATTTATTAAGTAAGATTTGATAAAATTGTTTTTATTCCCCGATTAATCCCTAAAGTCATGTAGAACTGGGGCAGTTTTGGGTGGTACAGAGAGTATCAGGCAGGGCAGTTTTGGGTGCTACAGTGACTATTGCGCCAAGCTGAATGTTAAAATAAAGCTGAGGTTTCAAAAAATGAGCTGCATTAAGAAGAGACACACGTGTAGTTCATTTTAATATCTTACAAGTTGATTCAGGACTGGATGAGTTGTGATGGACTTGCAATGACTTAATCAATCATAGGTATAATGTTCAGAATCAAGCTTAGGAGGGTTAAATTACATTTCCAAATTAAAAAACAAACCTCGTCGGAATGCCTGAAATAGCCACAATAAACAGTAAATAACCTGGATGATTTTGCCTCCGTGTAGGACCAAGGTTGCCAGGAAGGCACTACTGACGCTGAAGCCCATCGTCCAAGGAGCACTGTACTCCAAGAGATTCATGTGGTCGCCTACCTCCTGTAAGTCAGCGGAATGAATTTGTTTGCACATGTACTCCCTGACCCCTCAAACGGTTACAAAGAGAAAAGTGGGAGGGGCCATTGGGACGGACTATCTTGATGGCATCGTAGTCATGCCTGATGCTTAGACACTTGTGGGTTTGTTCACATGTTTTTTTTTGGGTTTGTTCACATTTGAGTGTCATGGCCTAGCGGTTAAGAGCCTGGACTCATGCTCTGGTGTTTCAGAGGCAACAGTGGCGTGGGTTTGAGCCCGGGTCTGGACACTTGTGTCCTTAAGCAAGGCACTTAACCATTATTGCTTCATCCTTCGGACGGGACGTAAAGCCAAATTCAGTGGGGGGGGGGGGGGGAATTGGTTGTGCCCCTCATGTCCCCCTTAGTTATGCCTTTGAGTTTTGAGAAAATTCATTTCATTTGCACTCTCCATTGTTTTTGTTGTTGTAATTCTCCAGGGCAACAGAAGATAAGTCTCAGCTCGGAAGCTTCCCTGATCGGCACCCCTGCATCCCCGTTCCCTGTCAGTGGCTCCGTCAAGCTGGGCGCCACCATCCTGGACCACAGCCTCAACATCGTGGAGGCCGGCTTCCACGCCAAGAACCTGCGAGACATCGCTGAGAAGATCCTGGGCATTGCCCGGCCCGTCCGCAAGACCAAGGAGTTCATGAAGAAGCTGAACGCCCCCCTGTCCGACAGCCGGGAGAAGTCCCCGGCCCAGAGAGACCTTGACGCTCTGGATGGACAGGTTGGGTCTGGTTTTGTTATCACTGTTGAAATCGAGACCACTAATTCTTGATCAATTATATAAATTTTCAGAGCAGAAAATGACAAGCTTTGATTGTGTATTATTTTGATGAAGGAATATTGGTACATGTATTAGAGTCAAAATTCATTGTTAGGTAAACGTGTGTTTGTTTGAGCCAAATTCTCATTCAGTACCTCACAAGAGGGAAGACCTTTTCAAGAAGTTTTAGAGATCCGTTGGCCCCACATGAATGATATTTTTCAAATTCTTTGTTTAAATTGAAATAACCCAATGGATTTTATGTTAAGTTCAAAACTATAAGAAGTCTTCACTCATGCAGATAAATCATATGTTCCATTGCGCGAGCGTTGGTTATGGACTTCCGTTTTAAGAACCTTATTTTGTTGTTCTGAAATGTTACTTTTCCTTTCTATCTCACCTTCTTTAATCCAAAAATCCCATACACACAATTTTTTTTCTAGGCTGCACTTTTGTCACTTCCGAAACTTCCGAAGCTTGTATCTTGTTCAAATTTAACATGAACGAAAACTGTACGTCATTCACAAAGCATGACGCCATCATGAAGTCATCAAGTGTCATTTTGTGAAGTCCTATATCTGGACATTATCAACATCATTTCCCAGAAGTTCCCAAGCAGAGGAGAGGGAAAGGCCTTTAGTACTATCCTTCCTGCAACCTTAAGAAAAATAAAAATTGATGTAGTGATCAATCATGATTTCAATTCATGTTGTTCTTTCACCCCTGTACGTGAACAGCTGCGAACGACTGTGATCGACTCCGACACCAATGCTCTGAAGGCCTCAGGCTACTTGAAGTTCTTCGGCAACGAGCTACGAACCGTCACCGTGGACAAGCCCACTATCTGGTCCTACCTGGAAGGCAGTGAGTTATCTAAGAAATCTGGTGTAGTGTGTGAAATTTGGACTCTGTAAACATAGGGAATCATTGGTTGTGTTGCGCATTCAGCACTTCATTGAAGGGCAAAACTCAATGTTGAATTAACATCTAGCTTCCGCAGACATTGTTATATTTACAAGCTTCTAAAGACTATTCATAAATCAAGCCTTCATCGAAACGCACCCTTAGTGGCCAAATTTGACCAAAAAAAGACTTTGAAATTGTGATTTGCCCTTGTAAATTTGATTATTATTGTATGCTCAGTGCTTTTCAGAAGCCTGTAAAGAAACAAAAACAAAATTGGTCATGCATACCCTGCGTTGTACATGTGTAAACCACGTCAGTTAATGTCTAAATAGGCAAATCTCACAACCTGCCCTGGTGAAAATTCCAGTTGAAACTAGTTAACTGGTTGGACTGGTTTCAACTTGACCAGTGGAACTGGAAATTGGTGACTGGTTTGGAACTGGTTTTGAACCGGTATAAAACTGGTTTTGAACTGGTGTAACTGGTTTTTGAACTGGTGTAACTGGTTTTGAACTAGTTATACCAGTAAAACCAGTTCAGAATCAGTCACCAGGTTCCAGTTGAACTGGTTTCAACTGAGATTGTCACCTAGTTACACCACTTAAACCAGTTCCAGATCAGTCACCAGTTTCCAGTTCACAACTGGTTTCAACTGAGATTGTCACCTGGGTGAAAGAAAGTTTTGAACTGTGTGAGTCACCACTCATTGGAACCTTTGCTGGAACATCCTCCCTTGACATTTTGGGATACTAAGTCAAAACTGCAGCCTCTTCTACCGTACCTTAACCCTAACCCTGCCAGACGCATCACAGTGCATCAGGTGGAAAAGTCTGGTGCACTTTGATTGAAAATGCTACCAACACCAGTGCATAAACCGGCCACTTCTGAGACACTGAGGGCTAGTCCCATTGAACAATGCCACAGTTGTATCCTGCTGCGTTGGGGGACTACAGACTCTGAGGCAGTTTGGCCTTGAGACTTTTGACCTGATGGATCTTGCTACACTGGGCAGGCTTGTCATTTTTACAAGTGTTGCATGTTGCTGCGTTTGGCAGGGTTTCAAGCCAATATAGCCTGGAGGGTTAGGGTTAATAAAGTCTACAGGGGCTTGAGTCTTGTATTCTAACCCCAAATCTTTCCTGACCAGCATCCGAGAAAATGGTCGACATTGAGGACAAGATGCGCTCAGGTGAGAACCCCTACTCCTACCGCAAGCTCTTCAGCCTGGGCCGGGGCGTGCACGAGATCCCGACAGAGATCGGCCTGCCACTGCAGCTCTGGGTGGACTCTGCAGCCATGGTGGCGCTGGACGTCAGCGGCAGGGCTGTCCTGACGCCCAGACTGACTGACGTTCTGAGTGACAAGGCTGTCAAGCTGGAGACGGTGGACGTGACTGGAACCGTCAAGCCAAGGTAAGGATGGAAGACGGTAATAGGAGTGATTCGTGTGTGACCATCGTTTAGCTCCATTAGTAAGGAGAAATCCCTAAAATGAAATACATATGATTAATATACCATTTTTAGAATAAATTGACCCTCCAATGCAAACATCCATTTTGTGCCAAGTTGCCCTTTCAGTCAAAGTCAATCAAGTGACTGTTTTCAACTGTTAAGAATTCGCGACCTACATAAAGCAGGATTGACTGGTTGTGACTGTTTATGTAACTTGATAGAGCTTTGCTTTGACTCGGGGTGATTGATAAGCCAGCTGTGCCCACAATGTCCTGCTTGGTCTGCTCATGGTCTGTTGACTGAAGTTGTCTGGTCACAGTGCTTGCTTGACATATTATCTGAGTGTTGGTGACTAGCCTGTGTTAAAAGTATAGCAGGGGAAGTGAATAGAAGTTTTGACTGTCTCGGACTGTTTAAATAGTGGGAGGGTTAAAAGAAAAAGACAAGGTAAATCTAGTAAAGCTTGTCCCAGATGCAAACAAATTATATTCAGTGGATTCAGAATGGCTGTTAATGCATCTGGTGTACGCAATGGGCCAGATTTAGTCTACATGTATTACAAGGTAATCCTATACGATGACACTGCCCGGCTCCCTTCAAAAGCCAACAACCAGACTAATTCACAAGTGACAGTCATTCAGTCATTCGGTTAGTCGGTCAGGTACAAAGAAAACTATAGGCTGGCCCCTTTTTGGGACCGGCAAAAACTGACAAATTCTTAAAATCGTTCCTTACCCCCAGGGCCGCTGTTACCATCATGGCCAAGATGAAAGTCTCCCTGGACAACGTCATGTCCGGTCTGTACCTGAACGGCGCCATGAACACATCGGCCGTCCTCACCGGCAAGCTTAACGTCGACGTGGCCAAGAAGCTGTACGAGACTCGCTTTGACACGCCCTCCACTGAGCACCAGGCCGTCTCGCTGCGCAGCCGACCCTACACCTTCACTTACATCGAAAAGCCAGAGCAGGAGACGGTGAGTACTGAACCTAAAATAGGTTTACACCTGGCATTCCAGAGGTGTGCTGAGCTGAAATGTGTTCAGAGTGACTTGAGTCAACCTAAATGAAGTTAGTTTCGGACAGGCAAACTTTATGTACCAATTCTCCAATTACTGGTGCTGTTTCAAACAACTGCAATAGTTGGTCTTTAACTTGTTTCAGATGTCGTGCTTAGTTCTTTTGATGCGAATGCCTATTCTACTAATTTACAAATTTTGTATTTCCAGCAAAACCAGCCCCAAAATTGTCAACACAAGGCCAAAAAAAGAATAAGTCGGTCTCTGGTCAGCGCGCGCGTCGATTTTAATCATGCGCGTCAATCTTTTTTTGTCTCCAAAATGTGCTGCGGTAGCTCCAACAGCGCCCTCTATTGCCGCACCTGCTCAATTTTTTTTTTACCAAAGAGCACCAAGGAATGGAAAATAGCACCAAGGCAAATGATCGAGAGCACCAAGGCAAATTATGGAGGACACCAATGTACATGAGGACACCAAAAAAGCAAAATAGTACCCCACGTTGTCTGTACAATCCAAGCTTGAAGAAAAAAAAAAAAGCAAAAAAAAAAAAAAAAAAAAGCTGCGTCCCCGCGTCAATTCCGGAACTTTGGTCTGACCAGAGACCGAATATTTTTTTTTGTTGGCCTAACCGTTGAGCGTCTGTCCGAACATGTGTGAAGATTTCTTTTTTGTTTCGTCCACAGATTCAGACCCCTGAAGTTGTCCGAGAGTCCCAAGAGAACAACCGGTATACCTTCAATAAGAGACTGATCAAGGGCAAGCTGATGAGCCCCAGGCCGGTCACGGTAAGAGGAACAAACATTGTCCAACTGATTCTGTTCTAATCACCTGTGGAGTGCCGTGGCCTCGTGGTCTATCTGGAGCATTGAATTTGTGGTCTGCGGGTAATTCTGCAGGTTGTGGGTTCGAGTCCAGCCTGGGGTCATTGTGCATGTGCCCTTGGGCAAGGCACTTTGTCACTCATTGCTTCTCCCCACCCAGGAGTAAATTGGGTACCTGTCAGGGCAGAGATGGTAATTGTGGTTGATTGTAGCTGCTTTGCACCGAAATGGCAGCATCAAGCTGTATATTCCCCAGGGAGCTAAGATGGTCTTTGGAACGTTTCACTGGCCCAATGAGCAGCGTAATAATGATGTAGCGCCTTGAGCACCAATAGTGGTAGATACGTGTGCTTTAGAAATACCCATTATTCTTATTAGGCCAAAAAAAAAAGTCTCCGGTTTCTGGTATGCACGCGCAATACAAGATGATGTTTCAAAACCGCCAAACTCACTGGTTTGACTGGAATTCTGCTGCTGCACAATTTTAACGTGTTTTTAGATGGGGTTATGATCGAGAATAAGATTTATGTGGCCTCTCTGGACTCCCATATATTTGCACTAAGTTTAGTCGGGCACCATTTGCAGTCATCAGCCGACATTTGAAGCCAAAAAAAAAAAAAAAAACAGGTAGAAAAAAAAAAAGCCGCGTCGCCGCACCACTTTTGGGGCAAGCTCCATACCAGAAACCGGAGACTTTTTTTTTTTTGGCCTTACCCATTATTTCCCTTATTTCTGTCTGTCTGTTTTGTGGCTAATTTCGTGACAAAGCAGTAACAATTTTTGTTAAGTTGTGGAGAGTCTCTTTCACAGTCAATAACAAGTCCTCACGTCAAGTCACAGGCTATTCGCAATGAACTGTAATGATGACATGTCTTTGTCATTGCTTGTACCATGTTACATGCACCTGTGATTAACTTGTAATTTGACTTTTGATGGACTTGACAACAAAACCCCAAACCGTCCCAGCACTGAAGTTTTTTTTAAATATTCATCTGGGAATGTAACACAATGTAGTACAGGTATCAAGCCCGGTTCATACTTCACGCGAAAGCAAAAGCGAAGCGAAATTTGTGACGTCAACAATACATTCGAAGCGCGTCCACCATTGTTGACGACATGAATTTCGCTTCGCACAAGTTTTCGCGTGAAGTATGAACCGGGCTTCAGTGGGTTATTAAAGTCAACAAAACATCTGTTATTGTATTTTAATAGAGCACCTGGAATGTTGGCAAGGACTCTCTCGGCGTTGAGATGGAGTTGAAGACGCGTCGCGTGCCGCGCTCCTGCAGCTTCACCTACGGCCCGACCCATCTGATCTTCAACGGCCCCGTGGATGTCAACGTGACCGTCAGGCCCGGGCAGAATGCCCCCAGGAACGTCGTCGCTTACATGAAGCTGGAGAACGAGTTCAAGACGCAGCAGCAGTACCAAGAATTCAAGGTTATAAGAACCCTTCCCCCTCTTGTGACATCCGCCACCTCCCCACCCCCACCTCCCCCAAACAGAGATAGGCACGGGAAATAGTTGTGGTAGTCGTCTTTACCCTTTGCGCAGTCGAGCCCCGATAAAATTCTCCACATTTTCCAAATATGGGCATACTTTTTTTTTTCAATAGGCCAATTAGGCCAAGCTTCCCTGTAATCCTCACCCCTACTATATACCACAAGCCTGTTAGACTCCCATTGGCCAGACTCTAGCCACTCAGGAGTAAGGAGTGTTGAAAGACAGAAGTCAAGATGGCACCTAATGCCTTTGTGCAGTAATGGGAGATCTTAGTGGCCAACCCGCAAGTGCCGCCGATCCCTTTGTTTCAACCCCTCGTGCCGCCCAGAGCTCAGACAGGTTGTAAACAATCCCTGGACATGTGAATGACCTATATCTTGTGCATGTACAGGCTTGCCAGGTTTAGTGACCTATAAACACATGTGGTGATAAAATTCTCTGTGTGGCCATTCCGCGTAAAGTTTTTGGTCTTGATCCACGAAGGGTTATGACATCCATCCTAGCCATTTTATGCATTTCTTATTAATGGTACTGAAACAAAGAGTTTCCGGAGATGCCGACCATTACTCTTTTGGAGTAATTATTAGGATTTTGAGGCATGTTACTACTCTTGCAAATTCCAGCTGTCCTATACGCCAACATTGTGGTTACTCTGAAAAGTACTGTGGTTACTCTTAAACCTGACTGTTGTCCTATGTATTTACATTAGCATAACACTTTGCAGGAAGAATCATTACTATTTTGTAGTCTGTTAAGTTGGCATCTCTGAGTTTCTAAAACAGTACACAGGTATTTGAGCTCAAAAGCCTGAAAAAAAAAACTTAAAGAAGAATAAAACAAATGGTCAACTTTAGTCATGGAAGGAAAACTTTGGAAGATAGTACATAGGGAAAACCATAGATAGGCTAGGGACTAAAGTCCTAGCACACATATTGGCCTGGGTATATGATTCCAACCCTTGTTACAAAAAAGTGTCATGGAAGGAAGACCTTTACCATAGAGCTGTATTAAATTACTAGAGCGCTAACTTCGTGTACAAAGTAATGCCTGCTGGGCGCATCCATGTTTGTGCACAAACCTATGGAGACCTAGACATTTTGTACGGCTTTTGTACGGCTATTTGCATATCTGCCTTTGTATTCCATACCGGTGCGTTATCGAAGCCAATACGCCCAAATCCGAAACGCACGATCAGCAAATGAGCGTCTCATTTTGCTCTACACAGACAGCGCAACGCGTGTGCGTATTCGCTGCAGATGCTTTTTGCCGTCAGGTTTTTTTAACCGTCAATGACGCGCTTAAGTTGTTTGCGTATGTTTTACTTGCACGTTGCATGTAGAGTACACTTTCAAAATACAATCCATCTAATTTCATTATGTTCTACAAACACACACATCAATTCAAAATGTCTGCGCCCAGGACAGCTTCAAAGTGTCTCCGCGTGCAGAATGACGAGTTAGCGCTCTAGTAATTTAATATAGCTCTATGACCTTTACTCATTGATTTTCCACTATTGCAAACCCTCAAGTCAGAGGTCGCGTCTGAAACGAGGTTTCAGAGCTATGGGCTCCATGCGCACAAGTACCCCCTCAACGGTAGGAAAGAGAGAGTTATGAGAGACCACTGGGGGGAGACATACGAACGCAACTACGCTATGTCTTTGTGCACGTTCAAAATCAAAAGTCGTTAAAAAAATATGAAAAGTTGAACAACGAAATTGACTGGAGCGGGGCTTGAACCTTCGACCTCCGGATAACCGTTCCGGTGCTCTTACCAACTGAGCTGTCCAGCCCTATGTTGGTGGTTCCCCAATTAGTCAATATCTTTAATAATTGTAATTGTTGAAGACCTGGATAATAACTCCATACAAGCAATTAAGACGTGCCCATTTAAAAAAAAAAAAAAAAAAAAACTTATTTTTGAATTTGTTTCGCAGGAGAAGTTCTTACTGAAGCAGCACTTCATGACCGAGTCCAGCTCCGAGGAATCGGACGAGCACGATCACGTTAACGGCAAAGACGTGCCCATCCCCATGTACCAGAAGCCGCAGACGTCGTTCCGCACCGTGGGCATGGAGTTCCTGAAGCGCTTCGAGGACTGGAAGTACGACAGTGCCAAGTGGCCGTTTACCAGGGAGGAGGTAGAGGACAGGTCACATGACCATACCGAGGAGGTTATCCCAGACAGCACTAAGAGCGTGGAACTGTACCATATCTACTTCAACGTAAGTCATGCTGTTTCTTCTTGAAAAATGTCAACAATTTTATGTACAAAAATGGTATAACTAAAATCTTCTGTATTCAATTGTACAAGCAGAAAGCATTGTAAAGTTTAATTCTGTTTTAAAAAGTTGAAACATATAAAATAATGTTAAGTTTCTGGAGATTCATACTTATTTCAGAACAACAGCATTCCTTCAATTTGCTTGGTACCTTTGAGATTTTTCCTACATTTGCCAAAATATTTATCCAAACAGGGATAAATCTTTTTAGATTGAGTTTTTCCCTTCGCCAACGTGTTTTATTAACACTGTATACTCAGTATTGACCTATCGCAGTAGAATCGCCTCAACGCAGCTGGTGAAATATTGTCCAATTATATGATATACAAATTGGATGCAGATAACGCACAAAATCTGAGACAAACTTAACGTACAAAATTCCCCCTAGGATTGTCTATTATCGCAAATGGTGATAGGTCAATTGTTCGAAGGCTTGCGAGAAAAACATTACAAGCTTTAATTATAATGGGACTCAAACCCACGATCACTTGTCTACTACTGCAGACATCTTACCACTCGACCACCGAGCTTACCAGGGTCAGCCAAAAAGTGAAGAGATTCAAACTCCATCCTTATTTGACAACAGATATTCATGTCTTTACAGATCAGTTCAAATAACAGCCAGGCAATAAGTGAGGAGATTTCAACCCCCATTTTATTTTACAATGAATATTTATGGCTATGCAGATCAGCACCCGTGGCAGCCAATAAGGGATGAGATTTTAAATTCTGTCTTTATTTGACAATGAATATTCATGTGTCTGTAGATCAGCACCAATCGCAGAAAGATAATAACAGAAGAGATTTCAAAATCCATTATTATTTGCGTTGAATATTCATGTTATGCAGGTTACCACCAATGGCACCCAGCCAATCCGTGAGCTAGTTAGCCGGATCAGTCTGGATCAGCAGGATGAGTTCTACAAGGCGGTGCGCTTTGATGTTATGACTGCCAAGAAGATCTTCCGTCCTGATCCGGTCCACCAGGACCAGCTCCGTGAGGAGACGGAGGACATCCAGGTATTTATTAGAATATTATTTGATTTATATATTCACTTGTTAAGCTGGGAAAATTTGTCAGTGCATTTGTTGTCATGTGCCCACAGTCATGTGCATTCCCTCCCTCTTACGTAAAAATGGTACATAGATGCATTCCGTTCATGCAAACATTGGCGCGAATGTTAGGCCAAGTAATAAAACAATACTTTGTCGTCCGAGCTATTTGTAAAAAAGGAGAAGGAGGCCCTTGTCTCCCAAGAAGGTGGATTTTCCAGGATGGCGATGGTTTCTTCAATTTTCTCGACTCTTTTGCTGATACTTTTGTGTCCAAAGGAGCCCTTTCCACCAGATTTTGAATTTGCATACATAGCTAAAATTGTGCTAGAGCGCGGCATAGAAAATGACAAAATATATTGCGAAAACATAGGTGCGATGTGAAATTTGGCAATTAGAAAAAAAAAGTAGGCAGGCAGGAAAAAGGAAGTGGGCGGAGACCACAAATGGGTTTATTTTTTTGTACTTGGCCTTAGCTAGGCCTCTGCGAATGTGCCAACCCCAAGTGGTACGATAATGTCAGGAACTACAATGGTGGGTGGGGTGGGGTGGGGTGGGGGAGGGGGAGGGGGAATGTAAGCAATCAGCTCACCGCCCATTAGGATGATTTGTGATGGCTTAATTTTGTGGCTTTTGTTCGTTTTGACAGACACTCTGCATCCAAGGCGAGCTTGAACACCCAGCTTACGCCGTCACCCTCCCAGAGTCTCAGAAGCTGGAGCCCATCCAGGGCCTGCCCGACGTTCCCCTGGACCCCAAGGTCCTCTTCAAGTTCAACAGCCAGTGGGGCAAGAGCTGCCTGGACGACCAGAAGATGCAGATCAAGGTCAGAGAACGTGCATATCTCCTTCCCTTGACATTAAGTTTGGGCTTAGTTTTCATTTGGGCAATTCCACGGTTACTCACGTTACACTTTTGATGTGCTTTTGAGTTTCCTTGAGCTGTAATTACCTTACTGAAAAGGTTTAATAACTGTTATCCCTATGGTAGATAGAGTAGACCTAGACCTACCTAAGCACCAAAGATGACATCCAGAAAAATGTGTTCTGTATGATGAACAAGACGCACAAAATCGGTTACTCACGTTACATTTTCGGACATGCATAAAAAGCAAACATGCTTTGATCAAAAAGTGTCCTCATACAGGCAACCTGTGGAAATTTCTTTTCAATGGATAAAAGACCAAGGTCTAGGTCTACTCTATCTACCATGGGGATAACAGTTATTAAACCTTTTCAGTAAGGTAATTACAGCCCAAGGAAACTCAAAAGTACATCAAAACTGTAACGTGTGTAACGTGGATTTGCCCACCCGTATTGGGTTCAGGTTGACTGAAGTGGAAATTGCACTCTAACCTTTCAAACACTTAGTGTTCCCTCAACCTAGCTAGCCAGACGTAAGTCTGGCTAGAGTACTTGGTAGTAGATTTCTATCTGCAAAATGAGAATTGATAATGATGAAGCATTTACTGGACTTTTTTTATTCATCAGATCAAATTTTTTAATTTGATGGACTTGTTTTGTTGAAAAAAAATATTTTTCAGTTATACTAATTTTGAAACTTGCTTGTCAAGTTTTTTTTCTCCAAAACCCAAGTAATTACTATCTGAAAACTGAGCTGACAACTTACTTTGGCACACCTTTTATTTGATGCAGATGTCTTAGTATTTGGCAGGTTAACCCTTAGTTACAGATCCTTGGCATGTTTTGCTGAGAATTTTAGTGAATCGTCTAGTATGTACCAATTTTGCAAGAACCCAATGTATAGGGCATCAAACGTCCTGTAAAAGTAGTTTGGCAAAACGTTTGTTAGGGCTAGTTCCTACTTCATACAAATGCAACAGAAGTCGCATGACAACAAATATGGTCAGTGAGACTTCAGAAAAAATCCATGTTCATAATTGATATTTACTATTACCCTAATGAATTTACTTCAAACCAAAATTTGTGTGAAGTAGGGACCGGCCTTTAATAATGTAATTTAATTCTGCAAACTTGGAAGATTTTGAATAATCTGGTTACTGACTATGGTGTTGGTCAAGGGAATTTTCTTTTTCCTTGAAAGAAAAATATCCAAAGGAGAGTCTGATGTTTTTGTGTCATTCGGTTCACCAGGCTCGTGTCCAGAGATCCGAGAAGCAGCAGAGAGAGCTTTTGGAGGAGACTCCAGACAAGATTGAATGCCTGAAGAACATCCGGGAGAATAACAAGTGCTCCCAGGCTTGTAAGTCCCTGCGTAAGGAACGGGAGGAGCTGCGGGCCATCCACGCTGAGCTGACCCACAACGAGGTATGTGGTGATGAAGGGCAGGGAACAAAAATGTACAGCATTGCAGAGTGATGTTAAACAAGTCATTATAAGTTATTGCATGTAGGCCATATTTTTAAGTGAATGAAGGTGTCAATTAGGGGGGGGGGGGGTGCCTGGGGGTACAATCAGACACCACTGTCGGGGGGTGGGTGTACGAACGGACACCTTTGTGGAGCGAGGGGGTTGGGGATACAAACTGACACCACTGTTGGGGTGTGTGTACGAACGGACACCATTGTGGAGCGAGGGAGTTGGGGGTACAAACTGACACCACTGTTGGGGGGTCTGTGTACAAACAGACACCGTTGGGGGGGATGGGGGTAAAAACAGACACCATAGGGGGTGGGAGTACAACCAGACACCAGTGTTGGGGAGGGGAGGGTGGGGTGGGGGTACAATCAGACACCTTTGTTGGGGAGGGTTGGGTCGGAGTACAAACAGGCACCGTTGTGGGGGGAGGGGTGATGGGGATGGGGGTACAAACATACACCGTTGGGGGGATACAAACAGACACCATTGTTGGTAATGAAGGTACAAACGGACACAATCGTGGTGGTACAAACATAAATACAAATTTATTGACGTATCAAGTTAGTTCAAATGTTGCTGTAATGCAAAAAAAAAACAAGATTATTATAATCTTTAGTAAATTTAGATTGGAGGATATGTATGTGATATTTCCACTATCTGACATGTAGCCACAACAATTGTGTTGTTACATATAGGCATATTAAAAGTCTTCAGATCTCTTTTAAAACTTGTTAATATACTAAACTCTGGCTCTTCTCTCAACCAGTGGCGGGAAAAAAACATTGCTCTTAAAAAGAATAGAACAAGTGGCATAAAGGAAAATTAAAAGTATATCACTATTAGTGTTAATCGAGTCAATTACAAAGGCCCTCACAAGGCCATCACAATGCCATCGCAAGTCATCCAGGCCCAACTCAATTCACTAGCCATATAAAGTAACTGTGACACAGGCATGTCTTTGGTATGGTTCATCCCCTGTTATACTTGTGACTGGACTTGTGAATTTAATTGTGACCGGACCTGGACTCAACTGTTAGACTGTATCACAATATTTACAATATTTTGATTTAAAAAATATTTCACAGATGGTCAAGAAGCCGTACAAGGCCTTTTTCTACCAGGGACTCGAGATGGTCAAGAAGCTGATTTGGGGAAGGGTTACGACCGAGCAGGCTGAAGTCCACAACCCCGACAAGACGGTAAGGCTAAACCCAAGACAAAGATGGCTAAGTCGCACCTCTGCCAACTTTGAGAGCTGGCACTGCCGTCTACTGAACCTGTTACTAAACAAAATGGAAAGAAATACAGGCTTAAGCACTGGTCATTTCTGCGAATTTATCTCAAAAGTTTATGCCATTATGTTAGGCCAAAAAAAAAATAAGTCGGTCTCTGGTCAGCGCGCGCGTCGATTTTAATCATGCGCGTCAATTTTTTTTTTTCCAAAATGTTCCGCGGTAGCTCCAACAGCGCCCTCTATTGCCGCACCTCCTCAATTTTTTTTACCAAAGAGCACCAAGGAATGGGAAATTGCACCAAGGCAAATTATGGAGGACACCAATGTACATGAGGACACTAAAAAAGCAAAATAGTACCCCACCTTGTCTGTACAATCCAAGCTTGAAGAACAAAAAAAAAAAAGCAAAAAAAAAAAAAAAAGCCGCGTCCCCGCATCAATTCCGGAACTTTGATCTGACCAGAGACCGAATATTTTTTTTTTTGGCCTTATGAATATCTATTTGATATTCGCAACCTGTTGAGGCAGGCTTTTACATATATTTACAAATTATTTTCTTTAAGACACAAGTTACTCTTCAAATTTGTCTCAGTATTTTTTTTTGTAAATTTACTTTCAAAAATGTGTCCGAAAGATGTCTGCTTCTTTTTGATGATAGAGTAAATGGGTAATTTTTTTTAATACGTTACGAGATTTAATAGTATATAATCTATGATCATTCGAAACATACAGACCCAAACATGAGATTTAGATCCGCTTTCATTTTATGTGTGTGTTTAATTGCCAAAATCAGTTCTTTTTTTTTATCATATAATCTATGATAATTCGAACCATACAGACCAGAACATGAGATTTAGATCTGTTTTAAATGTTGTGTGTGTTAAATAGGCAAAATCAGTGATTTTAAAATCTTCTGCTTGCAGGTTCCATTTACCGGCGAACTGGCGAAGCTATGATGATTCAAAACACACAAAACCAAAATATGAGTTTTTATAAATCCGCTATTATTTTTTTGGCGTCAAATTGGCAAAATCAGTGATTTTCAAAAATGTTCTGATTACAGGCTCTGCTGACTGGTGAACTGGAGAAGACCAACAAGAAGATGAACATCTCCATCAAGCACGTCCGGGGCAACGTCAAGTTTGAGCGGGTCTGGATTCCTCAGATCATCCAGGACTTGAAGGTCCTCCAGCCGTACAAGCTCCAGCGGCACATGGTCATGAGTTATAGCGAGGATATGCTCAGTGGACGCAACATCCGTGAGTCCAAAAACCTAATAAAAACTTTCAAGTAATACATATGAGCTGTGATGTAGTCACAAACAATATTCATTGCACGGCACTTCAGCTCAAAACCTTGTTTTTGTTTTGCTCTTGCCGACAGACCACTGCAAGTCTCTGAGGAACGACTCCATCATCACCTTTGACAAGATGATCTTCAACTACGAGCAGAGCAAGTGCGATCACATCCTGGCCAAGGACTGCTCCAGCAAGGAACGCTTTGTCGTCCTGTCCAGGAAACTGACCCAGACCGGCACCAAGAAGGTTGGTCCGTGAAGATCCAGGGATTTGGAGACTTGTAGAATGTGTTGATGTGTGAGAGAGATTTGCAAAAGTCATGATGTTTTGGACATATGGACATGATTTTTTGTCTATTTTCACATTTGTAATGTCAGTATTGATTTGTACCATTTATGCTTCTGATGCTTGTTTTAAAACTGTCATAGATTTGAGCAGATATCAAAGCTGTAACAAATTGTTATTCAAAACTGTTTTTGGTAGTGCTGAAACCGTTAATATTGCTTTAAAAGCAAGAATTGTTTTTCGCAAGTTGTGTGGCCAAAAGTATTTCCTTTAGCGTACTTGTGAAGCTGGATTAGGTCAGATCCCGGGCTGATTATTTGTCTAAAGAGCTCCCTCAACTGCCATGCACAAAGCCGATAACCATTTTGACCAAATCTACTCTCTCTTTCAACCCTCCTTCCCATTCCAGATCATCACCGTCTACATCGACAACACCAAGATCCAGTTTGTGCCCAACTTGCTGGACCAGGACATCACCACCCTGGTCAACGAATCCAACGAGAACCTGGAGGTGCTGCAGAAGCTCATCGTTGAGGACGGTGTGATCAAGAACGTGCCCATCGACTCGCCCACCGTCCACATCATGGATCTGGAGAAGCAGGAGGAGGAGTCCCTCTGGCCGGAACCCTTCAGGACGAGCAGGGAGAGGAAGCAACAGGTAAGACATGAACAATGGCATTAACATCTGAGGCCATCCCTGAGAGGTCTATATTTTCTAAATGGGAGACGCTTGGAATTGTATGCAGGCAAAGGAGCAAGAAAGGATGAACTGTTAAATATACTTCTGGAGGCCATATCTGAAGGGAGCATATGGGAAGTGCTGGGCATAATGTTGCAGAAAAGGAGCGGTTAATTAAGGATTAACAGTGAAAATACTTTTTTGAGGCCATCCCTGAGAGGTCCATATTCTCTACATGGGAAATGCCGGGGATAGCATTGAGGAAAAGGAGCAGATGAGGGTTAACAGTGAAAGCAACTTTTGGGGTTATCCCTGAGGGGTCCATATTTCATAAACAGGACAAATTGGGAAAATATTTCGGAGAAGCAGCTTAAGATGAATCGTCAATTTAATATTTTAGGCTGTCCCTGAAATATCCATTCTCCTTGAACTTTACAATGTGTTGGGTGGAATTTTAAGGAAATACACACCTCACAGCATGTTTTATTTGTTGTTTTTCAGTTTAAAACTGCTTGAACGTTTTAACAACATTCAGATATTGATGTTAAATGTCTGATACAAGTTTATGTGACTCTTTTTGGTCTGACTCAACTTATTTTGATTTGTTTAAAGAAGAAAAAAAGAACTTCATTAACTGTCAATAAGAATCACCATCTTAGTCTATAATTCAAGGGTTCTCTTCAATGGATTTTAGGCATTCTCTAAGTTCTGTACCTTCATTCGCACTTTTTCTGACGTAGATCATTTTTGCTTCTCTATTATTATTAGTCTTGGGACATGCCAGAGAGCGCCAGCTCTGAGGAGGTCGAGATGGGAAGCGAGGAGCTGCAATACTGGGAAGACTTCAAGGACCACGTCAAGGCAGACATTGCCATGGCACCTCAGCAGCTCTCTGCCAAGCCCAAGACCATTGCCAAGATCATCCGCAAGAAGCTGGGAGACTCCATCATGCTTTTTGCCCCCGAACAAGAGCTGAAGGTCTTCTTCGACGGCCACAACGTCAAGGTTGAGGTGAGTTCTGAGAGAGGGTTGGTTAGTAGTCAGTTTGGCTTGCTAATGGTTTTTAGCTTCCTGATCATGGCTGTCTGAGTAGTAATAAGCTTGCTTGATGCTGGCTCCTTTCGTTGTGGTCTTGGCCAAGTCAGACGCTCTTTGACCCAAGAGTTGATAAATTGAGGTGAGTCCAGGGAGAGAAGGGTTAGTGCTCAGTTTGGCCTATTGATGGGTTTTGTCTTTATTGTTTGGCTTGTTATGGGCTTGTTTGTTGATTGCTCCTTCCCTTTTGGTCTTGGCCAAGTCAGTTGTGATGGTTGGGTGGATGTCACCTGTTCATGTTTGGACATCATTGCTGTCTTGGTCTTGCCTGTTTAGGTAATTATTAGCTTGCTTTTTGTTGGCCATTTGGTTTCATTCGTGGTAGATAATGATTGTTTTGGTGCAGTGGATGTTAGGTAACCACCTTTACGGATGGCCTTGTTGTTCTGGAAGCCTTGCCGCAAGTTTGATGGAAGCCTTGCCGCTAGCTTGATGGAAACAGGCACCAGAAGTCTCTCGCTTTAGTCACGCTTGCTTTAATTAGTAAACTTCAGACTTTGTGTTGCTTACTATAAATCAAAACATGGGAGTTAAACATCTGATAACACTTGTTGATTTACACAGCTGCCTCTGAAGTACAAGGGCCTGCATTGCGGTCTGTGCGGTGATTTCAACGGTGAGGTCTCTGATGAGCTGGTCGGTCCAAACAGGGAGCTGTACAAGAACCCTCATCGCTTCGGACGTAGCTTCCAACACACCACTGAGCAATGCGCTAAAGGTATATTCAATATTACAGGAGGTTTTGTGGTTGCTCTCATCAAATTATACAACTCCTAATTTGCACTTATCGTGCACCAATTTCTAGAAATTGTGTGTTGCGAACATTTTCATATCTATAATTATAATCCAGTCAATCAAAGGGTTGATCACACTCACAAATAAGATTTCTGAATATCGTCAAAATATCCCAGAGTTGTTATCAAGTAAATTGCCAATCACAAGTCAAATTACAAGTCATATCACTGATGACTGCAGACAATTACAAAGAAATACTGGTGCCACTCTACTTAAAAGTGGGCTTGCAGTAAGACTTTGGATGACTTCTGGTCTTATGACCTCAATTCTTGAACGCCTGAAGGTCTTGAATATTTATGCCAAAAGTCTTTATACTTAACACTAGGCGCTTGATCTGGGATTAAAACGAAAGGTTATAGTGTACTAATGCAGTGTTTGTTGGGCTGCGTACCTTTTTGCAGAGGACCAGTGTGTTCCGTCAATGGAATTCGCTTATGACACCGAGATCAGCCTGCCAGGCAACAAGAACCAGTTTGCCTGCATCACCAAGACCCCTCTGCCCCGCTGCCTGTCGACCTGCAGGCCCTCCCAGGAGGAACCTGTAGACGTGGAGCTAGTCTGCATCGAGCACGAGGGCACCACGGATCCATTCGCCACCAGTAGCCGCGACGTCCTCATCAAGAAGTACGGAGCCAAGACGGCCGACTACAAGACAACCTTGCCGATGGCTACTAGGTGCGCCCGCCAGAATTAGACCCATGCGACAAAGATTCTTTCGTGGTCCTTGAGTATATAAACCGGTAACACATGATGGCTTAGCATCTTAAACAATAGAATCTCATCACCAGCTTTTCAGCATGCATGCATAGATCCATGATTTTTAAAAGCATTTCTTTATATAACTCTGCCTTTGTCTGTGTGAAATTTTGTGTAGTATTTCTGATTTGTATTTATCTGTGTGTATCCAGTATGGCAGAAGTGCACTTTTTGGGGCACTACTAGACCTGGTTAAAATATTGCACTTGTCATTGGTTAAGTGGGTAAAGATTTGCTTGTACATTTGATTTGTTGCTGTAAGGAAAGTAAAAATGCTTTAGCTTTTAATTAATAAATGAATAAAAAAACAAAAAATACCTGTAGACTTGTGGGTTTTAAAACCTAGTGAAGTAGATTAATTTTACTAGATTTTTTTTTATGGAGCAAAAATATGGTCAGTATTAAAATTCAATTTGATCAATTTCTTCAATTGTTGTCAAAAGCATTTTAACCATTCATTTGGTGTTGATCCAGGTGTGCCTTTTAGAGAAAATATTACACAAATTAACAAAAATTATCACAATCTGCAGTCTGGCTAAAACTGATCAACATTGAATTCTTGTGTGAAATATAACATGTGTAATATTAATTTTTTATGTATTCATTGATTTTTATGTATTCATTTATTGTGTTCCTGGAATTGTCTGTGTTTCCTTTCCCTTTTTGCTGATAAAGTGAATAAATTTGATAACCGGATTACTTCAGCATAAAAAAGAACATGTGTTGTTAATTTTTTTTTGTTTTAAGTAGTGTGATTGTCGCATGGAAGTTCTGCTTTTCCTTGATAGTGTTTAGCTGGCTGGGAATTAATATATATTTTTGAAGATGGCGCAGGGATATGGGTAGTCTTGGCCTAAAACGCTAGTGATCGATAGTGGACGGTGCATAGTGCGCCCTCTAATAATGGCATAACAATTAGACCAGCGGGCCTACTCGCACTAACGTCTTGACCATTTTGTTTCAGCGGTTTAACTTTTTCTTTATTTTCTCCCTAGGCTTTCCTAGGGAACCAATCAGCGATAGAGAAAAGCATGGCTTGCCATACACGTAACATAGGACATTACACATAGATCCTATACATGGTGCCCGGATGTGCTGTATTCTCGTATAATCTTGCAGCTTTTTGAGGTGAACTTACACACTCTATTACTGACAATAACCCTGGAAGTTACACCATCTGAAAAAAGTTTGCCAATGTTTTAATAAACTAATCAATCATGAAATCAAAATACAGTTTGCATTTTTACCTTCAAAACGTTTAATTGAACATTTTATTACTAGAATGAAGAATGCAGGGTAGTCTTGAAATGTAAAGAACAGATAAACCAATCATGTAATGGACAAGTTGGGCATGTGACCAATTTGAGCCAAAGAATTTTTGAATAGTCATTTCTCTGCTCCAGTTGGAAAATTACTTAGTTTGCTTTCTCAAAACTCTTTGAGTTCGCATGGCATTGAGGATACTTACCGGGAAAAACCCACTGAAGTAGAGTTTCACGAATGAATTGATTTCTAACCAAGTAAGTGTTCCCAAAATTGCAACGGGCATTTGCGTATTCACTGACAATAAGCATGAGAGCAATGTAAGTGGCACAAACACATGTTGAGCGTAATGTTAAGTTGTTTAGAACTACAATGTACAGAACCACAGCCATGTAAAGCTTGAATGTACATCTGTGAATCGGTGCCTCACTGTTTTATAACAATAAATGAATAATTTCTTTATATAAATCGAATATTAATCAAAGACGAACCCTCTTTGTTATTCTGTACCTTAATAAACCAATTCATTAACCCCTACCCACTATGACGTGCCTCCCCAATGCCAGACAGCATTTTCCAGCCGTGCACATTATTGCATGCATGCATGTTGGACTTTTTTATTCATAAGGCTTTTGTCCAACATATGTCTGATCAATCACAGCTCAGTTAAAGATTTCTTCCACTTTCTTTGCATTGTATTTATATACAGACTAGTTAAAAAAACAGTCAGATCACATTCATGTAAACACTGTGACTGGTCAAATTCCATCAACAGACAAAAGAGGTAACTGGTACTGTAGGTATACAGCTGACATATCAATCACCTCCAGTCAAAGCATAGACAAGGGAATTCTTAACTGTTAAAAACAGTCACTTGATTGACTTTGACGGCTGTGATGGCGTAGCTGAATTTGCCAGGCAGAGAGGGAGGGTTCTTGGCTGTGAGTGGCACAGTCAAAACATTACAGGGTGAAGCACAATGGATCGGTCTATTATGAAATCAACTTCCCTTCCCTCCACGCTGGGCTTGTGAATAATCAAGTTGGCCTGGCAGCAGGTCCCTGGATCTCCGAGTAGAGTGCCCCCAGGGAAGTCTTGAACTGCTCCAGCTCCATCTCCAGCGTGGAGATGCGGTCCAAGGTGGCGAAGAGTTCTTGTAACTTCTCCTGGATGGCTTTGCCGTTTCCCTCGTACATCTGGAACATGGCCTGCTCGAGGCCTTCGTAAGAGCTGGATGCCTGGTTTTTGTGGTTGAAAACAAGTGGTATACTAGTTTAGCAAGCTTGAACAATAATACGGAGCAATTCATAACACTGTTTGATGGAATTTTGCATGCAGCTGGGAGATGCAAATTTTATTATGTGGTTTTTCTTTGTTTTTTCTTGCTTTTTTTAGTGGCTTGTTTAACCTCACTTTTTATACTAGGAATTTCCAGTAATTTAAGCCATTTCTAATATGTAATATAAAACAATTTTTTTTATTTGTGAGTTTCATATAATCTGTCACTCAGAACAAAAAATATTGATTTTGTTCTAACCAGATATAAGACTAGTACACATTTGTAATTTAAATTACACAAGATTATAACAACTTAAAATTACTTTAAAAAAAAAACTTATGACAAAGATATCTTGAGGACTAAAATGTCATGCCCTCTCAAAGGTCTATAAAACTATTTGTAATTGCTAAAAAAAAACCTGGCAATTGTACAAAAAGTTTCTAAGGACCAAAAGTAATCAAGTCGTCAAGTCCATTATAAATTTATCAAATCACAAATGAGGGGCAAAAGTAACAGTAGATGCACCCTGAAAAAGGAAAAATTCAAAGCTATGATATCTCTTGAGGGCTTGTTAAGATGTGCTTTACTTTTTTGCTGACCAGTCCAAGAGAGGCCAACCTATTGATTAATTTGGCGACAGCCATTTTCTGAGGTGGCACTGCGGTGGCACCAGGCTTGCGCGAGTTGTATTACGCATGCACTCTGGGCTCCTTTGACCAATAGTGTTACCAAAATGTGTGAGCGCCTTTTCTTTAAGAAGGTGTGCATTAGCATGGAACCACCTCAAAAATGGTTTCTTATTCTGTTCTAGCGATTACACTATTCTCCTCCTCGGAGGGTTAAACTTACTTGTAGCTCCATCGCTTTCTTGAAGTCAGCCAGCAGAGTAGTGTCCCTTTTTCTCTTGGCATTGATGTCGTCGATCAGTTGCTGGGTGCGCTGGTTCAAGATTTCCCTGTTGACGGAATTTGACATTGGGGGCATCTGCTGCGTCTGGGGCATCTGCTGTGCTGAGGCCTGCAGCATGGAGGTCTGTGGGAACTCCTGAGTGGGGTTGGTGAAGCTGAGCGGGATGTTGCTGCAAGCTGACTCAGATGGAATGCTGCATTGAGTTAAGGAAGAAGAAATTGTTGGTTTTTTTTTTACTAGGTCTAAAGTTTGATAGATAAAGTTAACGTTGAATGTAGTTCAATTGAAAAATTGAATTAACGGGAATATACATCATTTGCTTTTGCTGTAATTTTCAGAAATGGATGGAATTGGGGGGTTGGAAATATATAGCAAATATAGTTACACTGACTTTTTTGAGGTTTTGGGTCCGAAAATGCTATAAAAACCAAGAAAAACAATCATTTTCCTGTAGTCTGGTTCCCTGACTCCATTTAAGAAGAAACAGAGCAGTTTACGTACATTGGGGAATTGTAAGGTCAGGGAACCAGTCTAGCTGGCTTGTACCCGTTCATGTGTGTAATCGATTGCAAACAAGTGTGATGGTCAGCTGGGGCCAGTATTTGAAAAATAGCCAGTTTTTTTCCAACGCTGGTCAGCCGATCAGTGTTGGAAATTGATACAAAGATACCACTTTTCTTGAAAATGACAGTGAACCAGGTGCCATGATTTTACAGGATGCTTTACACTGTCATTCACTAACAGTCCAGCAAGGTATTTCAAAATGATTTGGTAGTTTTATTTTTTGATGTTTGCAAATATTGTATTTTCCCTTTAAAGTTTATATAGGGAACCGGTCCTTAATTATTTCGACTCATGTGCAGGCACTTCCTCTGCACATCCACAGGTTTGATGAATGTGTGCACAAGATAATCAATGCAGAGTGAACGTGTGGCTCGATGGGGAAAGTGCTTGACTGCGGTTCCAGTGACCTACCGTAAGTGCGAGGCCAGTGCCTACCATTTTACATGTCATTTTTTTTTTCTATTTGATTTTCCCAAAAAGTGCAACATCTATTCTTCTTCATCCGTGGTTGTAAATCAAATCCTACATTTAATTGTCAAATACATGTATTTCAACTTGTTTTCTAATTGGCGGCTCTAGAGGATTTTGAGTTAAGTCTGAAATTGCATTAGGTCTGATTCCCGTCCCGGTACAAGAGGTATTTTCAACCAGGGGAGAATTTGACCACGTGCTATTATTTATTAAGCACAAACCTTGGGTCTGACTAGGGTTGATTATATGGTGCAAACAAAGTGGGTGCGTGGTCTTGTAATAATTAGATCTCACACTCTAACTTACATTAGGCAATGCTGGTTTTCAAATATGTGGTAGGATACTCCCCCTTTTACCATATAGGCCCTACTGCCAAAATGACAATTTGTGTTTGTCGTTTGTTTGGTCATGATGAGGCTACCTTTGCTCAAGAAAGTCAGCTCTGTCCGGATCAAACTCTGCCTGGCCCTGGCCTTCACCAGACACTGGCTGGGCATGCTGGGTTTGTTGCTGTGGAAGGCTTAGGCAGTCCATTTCTGCTGCGGCTGAATATTCTTGCAATGTTTCCATGTTCTATAAAAATGCAGTTCAAACTAAAGGGAATTAAAATGATTAGTAACTAGAGACTAGGCTATGGCTGGTGTTACTCGTTAGAGTGCCAAACACTCAGTTTTGTTGACAAAAATGACAGTGTCAGTCACTAACTTCATCATTCATGAACTTAGACTCAATTGTGTTGTGAATAAAGTAGGCTAAGTGAAAAGTTAACTAGGCCTAAGTTAAATCGGCCTAGCTAGGCCTTATCACTATAATCAGTATCACATCAGCATGATCAGTCACACTGGCATTGCCATATAGCCAGGTTGGACGACGTCTTCATTGCAATTTGCATTATGACTAGCATTGCCATTGGTCACGTAACGTTAGGCCTACTTTCTCTCTCTTGACCGCCCAACTTTTACCCAAGTTAACTAGCCTATTCCTTCGTTCATCAACTTTTACATCACAAAACTCAAAAGCTGTAAAACTGTTGAAAAAAAAATGCACATTGATTGTTACCTTGACGAAAATCATGAAAATAGGCTTTCGCTCTAGGTACACAACTACTGGGGGCGCTGTTTTAAAACTTTTGACCAATAGTTATTCATTGTACATATCCCGAACAGAGTATATTTAAATTGCGATTTCGTGTTGTTAGATAAGAAGATAAGAATACCTTGTTTGGGACTCAACAGTCTGCCACCGTTAAACTACCCCGATTGGAAAACAAAGATGGCTGCCATCGTGAAGTCTCCGAATGATACACGTGAATATCGGTAAGTCTATTTTATCCCGTAGAGTAAATCGTAAAGGTAAAACTATCCGATTTTTCATGTTAATAGAAAGTTCAAACTTTAAGATGTTAAAAAATGTCCAAATTGTTCAAAATGTTCCCCGCTTGAAGAAGGTCAAACGATTCAATTGGTGCCCAATTTCCGGACACGTGTGTACACTATGTATGTGTCTGTCTCATTTTAGCCACACAATGGCAATGCCATATGTCCCGTTTCTAGTGGAGCAGAAAATCAATTTAAGATTGGAATTATTTTGTCACTTATAATCATAATTACACAATCCCGTCTAGATCAACTCAACTGCTTAATATAATAATAATAGGCCTATTAAACTAAAGCAAAATAATGTTATTAAATTGATTGGAAAAAATGTTGCAACCAACATGTAAGTGACGCCACTTCCGCGATTGATTGTGTATGAAGTCTATGGAGAGTCAAGAATACTTTCTAAATTTGCTAACAACATTGGAAATGTTTCTCATCCCATATTCATATCTTATCATCGTTTTTGCAATGCAATGACTGACATTCATTGAGCATGTTGAGATGATATATGAAGAAAAAAGGGGCGTCAGGTTGAAACATTTTTCTTAATGCATTACCTACAGAGGTCTGGTTATCTTATAATTTCGGGTTGAATTCTGACAAGTTTCTGCTGCCATTGTTCATGAAAGCATCTGCATGCTGCAATTGTGCCCTCACTACATGTAGCTTACACCAAATTTTGTCAAAGTGCATCAGCGCGGTACGGCTGTTGCCTGTCATTCAGTATTGGTCAAAAGTGCATTTACATGATGTATGCCTACTTAGAAAATGTTCTTGACCCTTCATAGACTTTGTACACAACCACTGAAGTGGCGTCTGGATACCACATGCTTTCCTTGATCGAAAATAAAGAGGGGCTCATAACTACACGATCGCCATTACTTGCATCTTCCACTTTCTAAAACAAAAATCTCCCCAAAAAGCTGCCTTGGTTTAATGGTTGATCCATAACTCTTTAGCATTTGGGAACAATAGTTTTAAGGACCTCAGAACTAAAATTGTTTTGACAAATCAGAGTTTTTACTCTCCAACGTCTGTATTTAAACATCGCAAACGCTGCACACACTACTTGATGGAAACCATTGCTGATCGTTGTATGCAGTCCCCGTTATTTCGGATCAGTTTGATTTTCTACAGAGCATGTACATAGAGAGGGCGGAGATATTTTTAATTTTTCCAGTAAAAATGTTTAGCCAATATATATTCTTCTGCATGTTGGAATAAATTATTATGATCTGTTTCAAAGTGATTATTTTATATTAAGTTAAAGGTTATTGTTTAATGCAGTCATGTTTTTGAAACTTTTTTTAGGGTGGTTACATTGTCCAATGGGTTGACTGCACTCCTGATATCTGATTTGGCTAAACGGGGGCAAGGAGATGAACAAAATGGCGCAGCCGAAACAAACAGTGAATGCAGGGCTTCTGACGACGAACGGTGTGAGAATGATGAGATTGCAACAGAGGAAATGGACGTTGGGTCCACCCCCGGGGACTGTACCATTGGATCATCAGAGGTCCCTGATGTGAACTCAGATGCATTGGAAGATGGGTCCTTTCCATTGTCCGATGGGGGAGCAGAAGAGGATGAGGAGGAGATGATGGAGGAGGAGGAAGATTGTGAAGATGATGCTGAAGCTGATGAAGACGCTGAAGCGAGATCAGTGCGGAAGTCACAGTCCAAACAACCAAAGCTGGTAAAGACAGAACTTTCCTGATGTCATAATCATTGTGTATTAATTGTTAGGCCATGTAAAAAGTATATATTCTCATTCAGGCTTTTTAAAAAAAAAGGAAGGAGGCCCCCCCCCCCTTTCCCCTAAGATGGATCTTTCAATTTTCTTGACATTTTTTGCTGGTACCATTGTGTCCAAAGGAGCCATCACCCTTTCTATCAGAATTGTACTTACAAACAAAGCTAATTTTTTTGCTGGAAAAAAACCCTCAAAATATATATTTCAACTATATGATTAAAGAATAAAAAAGGAGGAGGAAGGAAAAAGAGGCGGGTGGGGACGAGAAACTGGTTTAGTTTTTTTTTACTTGGAGTTACATCAAATTGGGTAGCAGTGCAGTGAGTGAAAAATAACATACTTGTATACCTTCAGTGTGTAGGCATGGGGTGAATGCCACTCAAAATGTGAGGTCACAAAAGTAGATCTAGATAATGTAGACTTAGCCCCCTAAGAGCAGAAAAATATTGAGAGCAGCTCAGCTTTACTCCTTTTAGCCAACAAAATTCTCCAAAATTGTTTAGAAGCCAATGACATGTCACCAGCTAAATAAGTTTAAGGGCTTGTGCCAATTGTAAAAGGAAATTTGTCTCGGCCATTTTTCACCACACAAAGGTACAGTTTGGTGAGTCACAAATTATTAGAGTAGAAAAGTATTTGTGCACTTAGGAAAAAAAATAGTAATATTAGCATTGAATGACGTTCAGAGCACCTCAATAGGCCTATGGAGAAAAAAAAAATTAAAATCAATTAATTCAAACTTTTTTTCGTATGTTATACAGACACAAAAAGGTGTTTTTTTTTTAAATCACAGGACTAATTAAATGTATTTGTATTGTCTTATCTGCAGTTGGCTAGATAGTTGATCCTATATTAACCCATGATATTATTTCTAATTCTTTTAGGCAGCCGCAGCTCTAAGCATTGGTATCGGCAGCTTCTGTGAGCCAGATGATATACCAGGACTGGCACACTTCCTTGAACATAGTGAGTCATTCCAATCACGAATCATAATCCTTTTTGTGAAAAAAGTAGTGGCTTAAAGGTAATATACAACATTTGCTTTTGCTGTAATTTTCTGAAATGGATGATTTGGGGGTAAGTATTCTGTAGCAAATAATACCTGTTTAAAGTTTGTGTTCATAGATGATGGAAAACCAAGAAACAAATATTCTTGTAGTCTGGTTCCCTGACCCTACTTCAGACGAAACAGAGCGGGCTAGACTAGCTGGCTTGCACCCGTTCACAGATGTGCAATTGCAAACATAATGTGAACTAACTAATTTGGTAAATAGGGGGCAGTATTTGAAAAAAAGTCAGTTTTTTTCCAACGATAGTTGGCCGATCATCACTGGAAATTGATACAAAAAATTCCACTTTTCTTGAAAATGGCACATCAGGTGCCATAATTTCACAGGATGCTTGAGACTATTATCCACTTACACTCAAGTAAGGTATTTCATAATAGTTTGTTTTTGGGATATTTGCAAATATTAAATAACTCAATCCTTCCAAATCTGAGGGGGGGGGGGGGGATTTGCATGAGAAATACTTCCCAAATTTGAAACATTGCACTATGTATTCTGCTCAAGTGCAGTGTATTCCATTCATCCAACAAACTTAGACTCAACTGTTTTGTAAACAAAACAAAAAAACTGATAATGAATTGTTAAAAATGATGGGTATATCAAATCGTGTTTCATTGACAACCAACATTATTTCATGATTTGAAGACTACCCATGCTGTTCATAGTCTTGATGCCTGAAAGATGACATTGATTGTTGTGACTTTACGTAGACCTACCTGATATTTGATCTGGAACTTATGGTGATTTTTATTTCACTTTTTTTATTGATTAATTTTCCCCGGTTTTTGTAGTGGTCTTCATGGGAAGTGAGAAATACCCAGATGAGAATTCTTTTGACGCCTTCATCAGGACGCATGGGGGTTCAGACAACGCCTCAACAGACTGCGAACGGGTAACTCTTTGCTTCTCAAGCAACATAGAATTGAATCAATGAATGCAAATCTGTTAATGATTTATATTCCTGCGCCTTGCCACTTTGGGGAGTGACGTGGCCTTGTGGTCTGGAGCATTGAACTCAAAGTCTGCGGGTAATTCTGCAGGTTGTGGGTTCGAGTCCAGCCTGGGGTTATGGTGTGTGTGTCCTTGGGCAAGACACTTTGTCACTCATTGCTTCTCCCCACCCAGGAGTAAATGGGTACCTGTGAGGGCAGAGATTGATTTTTGCTGCTTTGTGCCGAAACAGCAGAATCAAGGTGAATACTCCCAAGGCCAATGGATTGTTTTTTTAAAGTGGCTCTCACATACTCCGTCAATTTTTTGTCCTTCTGATCCAGACAACGTTCATCTTTGAGGTTCACCAGCAGAGCTTCCGCGAGGGGCTGATGCGCTTTGCCCAGTTCTTCACGGCACCCCTCCTAAAAGCCAGCAGCACGGACAGGGAGCTGGAGGCAGTAGACAGCGGTAAGCCAAAGCAAGTCAGAAACTGTATGCAAATATGTTTCAAGTTGGGGGAGAAGGGGAAGGGGAAGGGGGGGGGGGGCAAGTGGGAAGGCGGGGGGGGGGGGGGGGGGGCAAGTGGGAAGGCGGGGGGGGGGGGGGCAAGTGGGAAGGCGGGGGGGGGGGGGTAAGTGGGAAGGGGGGGCAAGGTTGGGAAGTGTTGCATTCAGAACTTGTATCCCATTTTTTGAGTGTGTGTTTCTCTATTAAGGTAAACTCTTATGTACACTTTTCATTTTTGGTAAAAGAGTCTTTGGTATTTGGATGACCCTTGTTTCAGTTATAAAATATTATATTAACTTTGAACCCTGTGCCTATTTCCTAGGATGCATCCTCAATAATTCAGTTTTCAAAATCCTCCAACTGTTCCCATGTTAAAATTTAATATTTTCTTTATCTTCAAAAATCATCCGTTATTTCTTGAATTTGTTCAGTGGAGGGCTGACCAGTGCCTCCATACTTCAAAATTCTCCAAAACACTTTGACATGTAGAATGTTCAAGCAGTGCAGATGGTATTCAGTATAAGTGCAGATGGTATTCAGTATAATGTAGGCCTACATTTATATGCAATGGGCACTTAACAGGCATACAGCCTTAATCCTCCAGAATCTGCCAAAAGCACCTGGCTGGTTTTGGAGGATTGAAGAGGGTTAGGGTCAATCAAATAAGCCACAAGGAGCAAGGTTCACTCTTAATCATTGACGACTTGGATTTTCGCCAACATAGGGCTGGATAGCTCAGTAGGTAGAGCACCGCTTCGGATTTCCAGAGGTCGCAAGTTCAAATCCCGCTTCAGTCAATTTCTTTGTTCAACATTATATTGTTTTTACCTTGACAGAATTCCAGATGAGTTTACCGAGTGACTACCATCGCAAGCAGCAGCTGGTTGGGGCTATGTGCAGAGAGGGTCACCCTATGGGCAAGTTCATGTGGGGTAAGCTACATTATTCAGCAAATCACCTGTCTAATATAGCAAATATTCAGTTTGAGACTGCCAAGTGTGCATTGTAGAGAGTACATGTATGTACAACTTTGGAGAATTTGAGTGATGCACCATGAAGAACGATTCTGAGAAACAAAATTGGATACCTTAATGTCAGAGCATTCCGACAGAAGCGTCAACTAACACCTATTGGTCGTCTCAGAATCATCTCTATTTGTTAGATATGCACTTTTCATGATGTTTCTGCAGACTATGTTAAGTTGTGTACAATAAGTTAGACAGCAGCCAATTTCATGAAACATTGTGGTACTCCGTTTGCTTTTGCGTAACAAATTCTGAGTAGTTCATGGAATTACGCTGTTCCTGGGGCGCTGACTTATTCTACAAATAATTGTACATCTTACGCACTTGTTTCGGGGATGTAACTTGCAAGTTCCCTGTGGTTAAAGCATGCTGTGCCGGTTTTTGTTTTGAATATTTTATATTTTGCACGCTAAGATTTATTATTGGATGTTTTTATCAACAGGTAATTCCACCACCCTAAAGACACAGCCGTCTGCCAGAAATATCGATGTCCAGCAGCGCTTAATTGAGTTCAGAAAGCGAGTATACTCAGCCCAGTATATGACTGTAGCTTTGCAATCTAGAGGTATGCATTGTCATAGGGCAGTGTGTGATGTAGTAATATTAGTAGCTTCCAATTCTCTGAACTGGCTATACACTCAAGTGAAATGTGTGGCTTCGTGGTCTGGAGCATTGAATTCATGCTGTGCGGGTGAAGCTGCAGGTTGTGGGTTCGAGTCCAGCCTGCGGCTACGGTGCGTGTGCCCTTGGGCAAGGCACTTTGTCACTCATTGCATCTCTCCAACCAGGAGTAAATTGGGTACCTGTGCGGGCAGAGATGGTTGTTCTTGATTGATTTAAGCTGCTTTGCCTCAAAATGGCAGCATCGAGCTGTATACTCCCCAGGGAGCTGAGATGGTCTTTGGCATGTTTCATTGGCCCAATGAGCAGGGTAATAATGATGTAGCACCTTGATCATATCACCAATACTGGTGGATACGTGTGCTATAAAAAGACACATTGTTATGCACACTATTATAATATTTGAGCAGCACTGAAAAAAAGGCTTGTCAGCAAAAATACTGTTGTGAATTTATTATGGACATGGTTCTTACAGGCATGTAAATTTTCTCAGATCAGCTGATTTCCTCGTTTTAACTTCACACTTACGTCATAAAAACCAAAAAAAACACAATTTCCTCTCTTTTTTGTTACTTTGCAGTTGCATGCATCAATCTCAGCTTTTCTGGTTTGTCTGTTTCTTTGCTTGTTTGTTTATTTATTTGTTTGTTAGTAAATTGTTTTCTTTTTTCTTTTGGCTAAGAGGTGTACATTTGTCTTGTCATCAACTTGTCTCAGCTCATAAGGCAACTTCATGAAAATTGGTCTGAGTATCCCCTACAAAGTGGCTCAATTCCTGTAACTTTGTCAAGATTATCTGCTGCAGCCTATCGTTGAATTTCATAAATTTGACTTTCCTTTTAATGCTTTGTGTACTCTTCTCTCTTCTTTTTATAGAGACACTAGACACCTTAGAAGACTGGGTCCGAGAATCTTTTTCAGACATTCCAAATAAGTAAGGTTTGTTCAGATTTATACTCCAGAATTCTTACCCTTCCCAGTTACTGTGTCTTAAAGCCTAACATCCGTAACGGTCGTTGACAGCGCTTATATCTCATTAATTAATTCAGCTAACATTACATGAACCATGTCATGTTGTACATTAAGGCCTAAGCTAGAGTTGTACCGAATATATAAAAACAATTTCTTTCACTGCAAGTATTTTACTTTGTTGTTTCAAATTGGTTTTAGGCTCTGAATGTAACATCCCGTAATGATGGAACTGTCCAATTTGAACTCTATCCTAATTTTTTTTCACAGTGGACAAAAGCGGCCATCTTCTGAATGTTGCGGTGAACCATTTTCACAGGAGAAGTTGCACAAATTGTACAAAGGTAAACCAAATGTATTCGTACAAAGGTAAACCAAATGTATTCATACTTTTTTCTGATTTAACACAAAACACTTTTGGGTTTGATTAAAAATTCTGCCTTTCTATGTCCCAGCAGTTGATTTCCCTAAGAAATACAGTATTGCCTTGTTTCTTTTGAAACTACGCATTTCTGGAATTAGATAAGTATTTCTATTCATTCAAGGAAATAAATGTTCCTTATCCTTTTCCTATTTTCCCCCTAAATCTTAGTTGTTCCTGTGCAGAAGGCCCACATTCTGGATATCACATGGTCATTGGCCAATCAGCGGCAACACTATCGGTCAGTATCTCATGCATATTCAGGAACAAGTTCATGTGGACTAAGACCATACGGAGCAAACTTGAAAACAATGAAAATAATCCCACCCGAACATTGTTGTCTGGCATATTATGTAAAATTTTATTTAAATTTTTTTTTTTAAATTTAAGCTTATATGCATGGAAGTTTAACAAAACTAGTAATCTACAAGGCAGAGACAAACACAATTTTTTAGTTGAACAAAATTGTGGTTGTGTCAACAAGCCGTGTGCGGCTCTGAACATCAAGGTAGGAGAGCTATGCCTTATTCTGCCAGTAGCGTTACAGACAGCAATAATTTTTGTATGGGTGGGTGTTCAAGGAAAAGTTTTAGTCTGTCTCAATTTGTGGTAAATTGCTGAAAACAAACATATTTCCAAATTTGTATGTTTCATTTGTTCATAATTCTTTCAGAACCATTTGTAGATCTTCCTCATTTCTATTTGTTTAAACCTTGAACAAAAACTAGGTGTAAAAAACCCCAAAAACCCCGGGAATGTTGGAAAAGAAAACCGAAAGCATCGTATTGAGATAAGAAACCCCATTTTCTAGTCAGCACAAAACCGAAAGCATCATATTGAGTTAAGAAACCCCATTTTCTAGTCAGCACAAAACCGAAAGCATCATATTGAGATAAGAAACCCCATTTTCTAGTCAGCACAAAACCGAAAGCATCATATTGAGATAAGAAACCCCATTTTCTAGTCAGCACAAAACCGAAAGCATCATATTGAGATAAGAAACCCCATTTTCTAGTCAGCACAAAACCGAAAGCATCATATTGAGATAAGAAACCCCATTTTCTAGTCAGCACAGGCAGGTGCTAGTCCAACGCAGGTTACTCCCCAGCTAATGCCGGTACCCATTTATACTCCTGGATGGAGAGAGGCAAGTGGGGATGAAGTGGATTGCCCAAGGACACAACATATGTGACCTGTTCTGTCAAAATGAGACTTTTCTGGGCATAAGGTCAAAAATGAGATGGCCTGCAGCTGGATTTGAACCCCTGACCCTCTGATAATTATAACCACTTTGCCACGCTGCCCATTAGGTGTTGCAAAGCCCTATTTTATTTAATAAGCCAGTTAGGTATTCCAACTGCGCATGTGCACATCAATATTTGACAATTTTATTTTTTCGGGACAAACCCTTCATCGTATGCTTGCTAAAGCATAGCGGGGCACCAGCAAAATTGAAGAGATTGTCATGTTCTGAAGTAACAATTTGCAAACAAAAAATTTGGACAGCGCAGTGTTTTTAGGTGTCTTATGTGTCCAAACGAAAGTTTCCATCTCTTTTCGATTGCACGAAAAATAACGCGGAATGCAGATTCAGCGTTATCTGCTGCGTTTATCCGGAAAAACAATAAGTGAATGTTGTTGTGCACCAGACTATTTTGGAATACCGAAGTGGCTTATTCATGGATGCTTTTTTGTTGCCTTACTTTACCTGGATGGCTTATCTTTATTGAAGATGTAAACCACTGAACTACCTGTCATGGCTGATCGGACACGAGGGACATGGAAGCATCCTAGCTCTGTTGAAAAAGAGGTGAGTTAAGTCCAAAACAACCCTCATTTTTCTAAACTTCAGCAGCCCTAGTTCCCTTCCCCCATTACTTACTCCCACCCCGAACCTCAACACCAGGGGGGGATTGCAATACCACGGTCTAAGTTGGCTGGCTTAACCAGTCTGATTTTAGCCAGCTAGCGCTCCTAGATGGTCTTGGTAAAGACACCAAACTTAGCATATTGTGATAAGCCTGTCTTTACTAAGCCTGGTTAGAGTAATGATTCGCAAGCAAAATTTCCATGATTATGGGCTGATAGGCTGTGGTGCTCATCAGGCGCCATAATAGCGAAGAGGCTGCGCAGTTTTTCAGTTTGTCTGATTCAAATCATGCGAAATCAAATCTGTCGTGAGATTTTATGTCCAGAAAATTGTATTTTGCAGCACAACTCAGTGTCATTATATTTCTCTAGAAGATTCTTTTTATGTTGGAAAATCCTCTCTGCAATCAGTATTCTTCTATTTAAATTATCAAACACTTATCAACTCAAACATTCTTGGAAAGGTTTGTTAACGTTCTGATGAATTGCATAAATCCCACATAAACTGTTTTAAGCCAGCCCAACCCAGGTTAACCATTTAAGTCTTAGTACTTAGACCGTGTCATTGCAATGGTCTTACTTATAGACCGTCTGACGGCCATGAGCTTTAAGACTGTCTAATGCGCATAGACTCCTTTAAGACCGGTTATTGCAATCTGTCCCTGCGGCTGTCTCACAGATCACCATCGGAGTAGCTTGACAGTGGATGACTTGTGATGGACTTGTGATGGCGTGTAAGCACTTGTGATGGGCTTGACCACCTAACTACTTATTTTTACCACTGAGTGCACACTTATGCACAGATTCTGTAAGTATTACAGCATGCAGTCTGTAACGTGTTCCGTTGTCGCTCATGCAGGGCCCTTGCGCTGAGCCTCTTCAGCGGAAACTCAGACACTGGTTTTGAGCACAACGACACCCATGCCATGTATGCCATATCCATCACCTTGACTGACCAAGGCTTCAACCAAGTGAAGGAGGTCAGTCCTTGAAAAGTTTCCTTTTTTTATTTCAACTTCATTGGGGGAGCTTCGTAGTCTACATGTGAGGAAGGCTACTTCCTTGATTGTAATGTCACCTACTTCCTTAATTGCAATGTCACCAACAGGGCCCAATTTCTTGGCTCTGCTTACCATTAGCAAAAAAGCCCTGCTTAGTGTAGCAGATAATTCCCTGCTTATGATAAGCGTATTTCAGGCGTTAGCGAGGAAGTTTGGCTTCTGCACATGCGTACATCCCATTACTAGGGATTCTGTGCATACAGAGTTAGCACAGAATTTTTTGCTAGAGCAGTTAACACGGAATGGTGATCATAAGTGCAGAATTCTGTGGTAAGCAGAGCCATTAAAGTGGGCCCTGCAGCTGGGGCCAATTTCACGGATCTGCTAAAAATTTGCTTAGCACAAAAAAGTATGGCTTCTAAAAGCAGGTTACCAGCCAAAACTCCATGTGATGTATATTGCTCATGATTGGTATTCAGCTGTTGTTTGCTTAGCATGAAAATCACATGGAGTTTTGGCTGGTGACCTGCTTTTATAAGCCAGCCTTTTTTTGTGCTAAGCAAATTTTTGTGCTTAGCAGCTCCGTGAAATTGGCCCCACCTGATCTCTGATTACTAACTTTAAAAATGTATCAATATCACATACAGAAGCCACTAGGATGCCATCTTTGTGGTCCCAATTCAGTGTGCTTTTCTGCTTCCACCATTAACTGTACAGACAGATCTGGTGGCAGCCATTTCCTGCGGTGGCGCAGGGTCACATGAGTCGTGCTCAGGTAGTCGCACGCACTCCGGGCTCCTTTGACCAATAGGAATATCAAAATGCGCGTGCGCCTTGTCTTTAAGAACGTAAGCAGCATGCGCGTGAGCGTGATGACACAGTAAAAGCTTCTAATTCTGGTCGTCGGATTCCAGTATAGGCTAAACGAACAGGGGCCATATTGGGGGTCAAAAAGTGACTCATGGTGGCTTCATAGCTTCGAGCACAGTGATAAACCATTACCTTTCACAGTAAAACCAATCCAGTGGTGTCTTGTGTTCAGCCTCTTTGAAATGTTTTGCATCTAATTTTGTTCCATAGCTGAAGTGTACAAGTTGGAAATTGGCAGTCTTCAGAGTTCATATGCGCTCTTCATATGCACTCTTCGGAACTTCTTGAAAGACTTTTTTAAAAGAGACTACTAAAAGCCTGCACCACATTTTACTTGTATTCAGTAGTGTTTGATTGCTTTTATCTTGAAACAGGTGTTGGCCATTGTTTTCCAGTACATCAAAATGCTGCAGACAATAGGACCACAAGAAAGGTAAACACAAAATAAAGAAAATGAAAGCCATTATAGTATAAAATTATGAACTGATGCCGACCTTTAGCAATGTCATCACCTAAGCTTTGAAAAAACGTTTTGGTTAAACTCAAAAATACTTGTAATACACTGTACATTACATGTATTGCATTGTAATTAATCCTTGATGAAACAATATACCACATAGCACTGGGTCGGTTTGAAGTGGTAGTTAAGAGTAAGAGGCACTTTGGGTCGTTTAGCAACTAATGAATTAAATACATTTCAATTTTACCAATGTTCATCCTGAATAAGCATAGGTTATTGAAATCAATGCCAGCTTACATTTTCACATGAAGTATAACTTTCCAATTGTTTCAACTTTATAATTTTCCTGGGAAAAGTAAACACATATGCTGAGCATCTCAATAACTTCACAAACTTCTGTAAATGTGGAAGACTCTGTTGACCAAGAAGTTTGCTTTACAGTGGAACGCCGCTATAACGAACATCGCGGGATCCACAGAAATTGTTTGTAATAGCGATCATTCGGTATAGCGATTTTATGCTGCCGGTGCTCCGGTACTCAGTTTTCAATAAAAAGCGCCCTTCAGAACTTACCCTGCACGCCCTGGTACTTCTAGTTACTGAAAGATGACTTTGAACACATACTGACTATTGGATAATGTAATTACACAGATTGTGAGCTTACTACCGGTACCTACATTGTACAGCAATGGGTGGTTTTTCCCTTCTATTCCTTGGGGAAATAGTAACCACTTTTCGCTCTTCTGTTGACATTTTTCAACATTAGTATTCCATATATTTTGTACACAAAAATCAAGAGCCAATGATGATGTTCGGTATAGCCGAATGTTCGGTATAGCGGTGTTCGGTGTAGCGACGTTCCACTGTATATGATTCTGTGTGTTTTCTTTCAGAATATTTCAAGAAATCAAAACGATTGATGATAATGACTTCAGATTCAAGGAGGAGGTATTGAGTTTTTTTGTTTAATATTCATGTTGTGCATCTGCCAATTTTCCTACTTGTTTTTGCTTCCAACATTACAGTAAATTATAACTGTGGCTAGTTCTTCATATTAATGTAACAAGGCAGATTTTGGGTTTGAGTCGACCTTGTCTGGTTGGGATGCTTGTGTCCATGGGCAAGACACTTTGTCAGGAATCGCTTCTCTCCCAAGAGTTACATAGGTGTACAAGCATTACATTCGCTGTGTGGACTTCCGAACAAAAGATGTCCACATAAACCAGGTAGCAGCTACGTTGTGTGGACTTGCCCACGTCCACACAGTGTTTCCCCCCTGCTCTCTGGAAAACAGTTTTAGAGGCATTTTGGGGTTAGGTTTATGCGTGGCAAAATGAAGAGAAACACTAAAGGGAATCTTAGAAACAAATTGGGTTGAAAGAGTTTTCATAGTGTTTTTCACAGGTTTTTCTTAATTACACGAAAACAAAGGAATGTCCACACTAGGTATGTAACGTAAACATGGGTATGTGTGAAGGCAGAGATGTTTATTGTGTTTGGAAAGACATTGCCTTCAAAATGGCATTGAGCTGTATATTCTCAAGGGAGCTGGATCGTCTAAGGAATGTTTTTGGCTTGAGGAACAGGGGTTACGTAAAAACTTTGATCCTTGTTAAAAGATATCAATTGCCATTTGTGTTGTAATCAGTCTTGCCTTCTCCTGCTTTTTTCCTCTTCACTTTTGCCCGTGACCTGTGACCTTTGACCCAGACCGAACCCATCGAGTATGTGGAGATGGTGGCAGAAAGCATGCAGCTGTACCCTACAGAAGAATGCCTCACAGGACCCTTGCTGCAGACAGAGTACAACCCACAGGTAAGTTGAGCTGGTTGTCCTTCAGGGGAAAAAAATATAAAGACTTGGAAAGTGTGCCCCCTTAACCTGAAAAAGAGAAGGACCATTTGAGTGCCGTCTTGCTTGTAGCTTGCTCGGGATTAATGTATGATTGATGTCATACGACTGGCCCTCATATATAAAGAAGCACCCCCCTCCTTAAAAAAAAAAGGAAAAGAACAAGCTCAATCAGAAATATCTCGGAAGCTGCGGGCCAACGAACTCGTGTTCATGCATCAGTCATGCGATTGTGCCATGTAATTTCTGGAAGGAGTAGTGTTTTGAGTTAAACAAAAATCAGGTTTTTAAACCCAAGTGACCCCATGATAAACTTTGACCCCAGTGACCCCATTATGACCTTTGACCCCAGTTTGGTCATGTGACATGTTGGGGGTGGGCTACTGATACTTTTAACAAAGTTTGGTTGAAATTGGTAAAAATGTTTACTTACTAACTAACAAAGAGACATCATGATTTGTTGAGCTGCTCTGCCGCAGCTAAAAAAGGACTAACCGACATAAAAAATGTCTAATAACGTTTGATGTTGAAGTAGCTGTATCAGTGAAACCTGTGTCTACGTTTTGTTCATTACTATGGAAATTTTTTTTTGCAGGTAAACCCAAAATGCCCTGAAATGTCATGAAAATACGTCAATGGGAAAACTGAAATCAAGGGCCATGGGTGGTTTGTCAAGTCCAAACCCATTTCAGTCACAAGTCAAAGCACAAATCCTCACAAGTCAAATAAAAAGTCAGTTCATAAGGGGATAAAAAATTATGGAGGAATACTTTTGTCACAGTTTATGAAAATAACCTGTCACTTCATCACTTGAAACTGAATGACTTACGATGAGCTTGACCACACCTCCGAGGCTTTGCCTTCTCAATAAAGGATCCAATTTGCCATTTTCCCGGCCTTGTAGGCCATTGCCCTGTGCACAGACCACCTGCAAGTCCACAATGCTAATTTCATGCTGCTGTCCAAGCACTTTGAAGGCCAGTGCGACAGGAAGGAGCTGTGGTACCAGACCGACTACAGGGTGGAAGATGTGCCTGAGGAATGGAAAAACCTGATTCAGAGTGAGTGACAGACTATGATAAAGAAATATTTATGCTGTAAAAAAAAATGTCTTTTAGAGAAAAAACAAAATATCAGAACCATTTTGAGGCCATTTCAAGATCCATTTCCGAATCAAATGATAAATTGAAATGTAAATTAACCCCTTGCGGACGGGGTGTAATAGGGGCATTCCTCCATACATAGAGCAAGTGACCCGCATGACTGCACAGCCTTTGTGTGGTAGCGGGACTGCACAAAAGCAGCAGCTGTGTAACTACCCACTAGCTGTGTGCCACAGCATACCACAGCTGGCAACTGCATTCCAATGAAGATTAGCGGCCACGGCTATAGCTGCTCCCCGTCTTAAGGAGTTAAAACAACGGAACTGTTTAACATTTTGAAAAATGAAAGGATTGAGAGTCCTTGGTCATTTACATTGGACTTAAATCCACAAAAGGAGCATAAAGTTGGAAATTGCCATTTTGCAGCACAGTGCGACATTTGAAGGGGCGGTCCATTTTTTTTCTTCAGGTTAGCCTTAATCTGTTAGTCCTGGTCTATGTTTCCTCATTGTTTTTGTTCTGTCAAACATCTTTTAAACCTACTTTCTTTCCGTTTTACTAGTTGACAGACCATTCACTATAATACAACTGCAGGATGTTTAAGTGCCATTTTTTCAACAATCACTTCAGTCAAGTTACTGGTCTATATTTTTGTTTGGTACCCCCAATTGTACATATACAATTAGAACAGTCTTGTTCTGCAGAGTCTAAGAAAAAAGTCTTACTTTATGTTCATTTTTTGGTGATATGAGCATTGGTGTGAGATCAACATTCATGGAAAAAAAGTATGATATATAATCTTCTCGTTTTCAGATTTGGAATTAAATCCTGAGCTTCACCTTCCAGAACCAAATAAATTCATAGGTAAGTACGAAGAAAAAAACCCAACAATAACAATAAGATTGTGGATTTTAATTATTGTATTTTAGATAGATTGCAATATAAGTGGGATGCACTTGAAGCCATTTGTCTTGGACAATGGAAATTTTTTGTCATTGTTCATGTTCTGTTATTTATGACCTTCCTTGAGATTCGGTTGCGATTTGACTTGTAATGGACTTTTAAAATGACAAGAATATTTTCATTACCAATTTTCAGCCACAAACTTTGACCTGAAGTCTCCAGACGTGCCAGACAGCGACTATCCAGTCTGCATCTTGGATTGTGAGCAGAGCAAGCTGTGGTACAAGCGAGACACCAAGTTTAACTCACCCCGAGGTAAAATGCGCAGTGCCTACATTTGCTGTGATTGACGAGAGATTTGATAAGAACTCTTCTAGGAACACTATTTTTTCCCAGGAGCATGCACTAGTCCTGGTGGATACGTGACTTTATAAATACCCACTATTATTCTACTGAATGCTATAATAGGGCAACAGATTTTGCTAATCGCGTCCACACTAGGGCGACACACCTTATTGGGGCGAAATATAATAGCCCTTTTGTGAAAACAACCCTTAGGAGAAGGAGTTTTATTGTCGCAAACCATCTAGATCGATTCCTCGTGGTCCAAAACTTGCCAATACCGAATTTCCAATTGAAGCAGTACACACTCAAAGCCAGCTTGCATTGCGTTTATCCAAATGCAATCAGCGAATCACAGAAACTAAGGACCATAATCCAATCTCAAAGTTTGTTTGGTGGAACTCCATTAGATTAGTCAAGGTCACCTTTTTTACTGTCTTGAACTGAAAGATTACAAGACTCTCCCTTTTTTGCTTTTCTGCATAGTTGTCGCTGTTTTTTCCTTCTGATTTTACTCTTCTTTTCCTTGTTCTTCTAGAGCAAATGTCATAGACTTTGTACACATTTTCTTCCAAGTCACTTTGACATCAAAAAGTATCGTAGCAAAGTGAAACTTTGCGTAGACAAAGTCACTCCACCATAGTTGTGGCTTAAACATTAACGTCATGAAGATGTCATCACATGTCATCACATGTCATGTGATTCACCTTGTTTATGTTGTGTGTACAATGTACATACCATACATGTATATCGTATGAAGACATTACGGTTAAAAAAACCCTAAAAAGCAGAAAAGCACTATTTCTGTTCATAAAAAACATAGAGATCATGTTTTTTTTTTTATCCTCTCCTTCAGGTTACCTGATCTTCCACCTGATTACTCCCCTCGTCTACGCCTCCCCGGGGAATCTTGTTCTCTTTGATTTCCTGGCCTCCATCTTGGAACACAACCTGTCAGAGATTGGCTACGAGGCTGACGCCGCCCAGCTGGAGTACAGCTTCAAGACCGAAGAGACGGGACTGGTTATGAAGATGTACGGCTTCAATCACAAGCTGCCGGTGAGTGTTTGTCTGTCCCTATGTCTGTTTGTTTGTCAGTGTTAAAAAGCAACTCCATAGATAATGAAGACTTTTAACCAAATTGATTGAACAGGGACATTGACAAACTGGGGAAATTGCCAACATATAGCTCTGGATAGCTCAGTTGAGACTTTGCACATTTCGCCAATGACTTATTTGTCCGAATAAAATCAATGATATTCAGCATGTTATAACTCAAAACTTTAGAATGATATTACTGAGCCGTATTTTCTGCTTGAAAGCTTCACGACATCGAATTAACTAGTTTCCAAATACAACATGGTTTGAGGGTGGATAGAAAATATTAGCTCTCCAAGGTGTTGGAAATTGACAGACTAGTTCCCTAGGCGAAGCCGAGGGGACTATTCTGTCAGCTTCCAATACCGAGGGGAACCACTACTGACTATCCACCCCAACTAAACCATGTTTTATTTGTTTTACTATACCTCATACATATTCGCAAAAACGTCATGAAAAACATTTTCTCGGCAAAATGTTGTGCCCCATCTTTTCATTTATCTGCTGCATGCTGCATGGGCGATGATCGTGTGTGTGCACTACCCCTGTGCGCTAGTTCCACGATTGCTTCCTAACAGTGCATGCGTAGTAGACTAGCGCACTGGTAACCAGTATGATAGGCTACCATGCATGCGTATGTAACCTGTGTGTGGAACCTTGCGTTTGCGCTTGGTAAACAGCAAGTTTAGCGGCTGACAGGTGATGGCGAATGGACCAGTGAGAACTCGGCTTTTGTTCCTGAATATGTTTATGGTATAGTAATAATTGTTAGTAACACAGTAATTCCCCTATCCAGTACACTTTCATCTGTACTATGTTCCTTCACCAGCTCTTGTTTGACACCATACTGGACTACATAGCCAACTTCTCAGTAACACAGGAACTGTTTGATGCTGTCAAGGAATCCATGATCAAATCCTACTACAATCACGTCATCAAGCCAGGAAAACTCAACAAGTAAGTCAGATCAGAGTTCTGTTTTGAAAACCAAAATGACCCTTTAGTACCCATCAGTCTCTGTATACCACCCAAAAGCACCCTGCCTGTTACAGAACAATCTGGGCATGCTATCAATTCTATCATGAAGGCCCCTTCAATGGTGCAAGCCTTGTACTAGCTATTGTTCAGATAATCTGTTGTGGGCAGTAACTTTTACTAATAGTTTGCACAATGGCTTCTCCATTGAAGGGGGCCTCGTGTGTACAGTGATCACATCATGCCCGGAGTTGTCTGTACCGCCCCAAACTGCCCCAGCACTCTATAGTTCAGCGCTGTGGAGTGCTGTGGTCCAATGTTTACAGTGTTCGACTCACGTATCGTGGTACGAGGGTTCGAATCCTGACGGGGAACATGGTGCTTGTGTTCTTGGGAAAGACACTTTACTACAATTGCCTCTCTCCACGCAGGAGTTTGTACGGGTAGCTGTGAAGGTAGAGACTAGAATGCGCTGATCTCGAATAACTGGTCTCATGGCCTGATGAACAGGGATAATAATTGTGAAGCGCTTTGAGACATTTGGTATAAAGCGCTAAACACCATGTTATTATTATTATAGGTTTTCCCGGCTGTTAAAAAAAAATGTCATTCAATTTCACCAACTGTAACGTTCAATTTCGTCCGAGAAAAATTTCACACGCTTTTAACAAAACCAATTTAGTCATTTACCATTCAATTTCAAAGTTTGGTCACCCTCTTTAGTCACCGGGTCGAGAATATTCGTCATTACAGATCAAATTCATCCAAGCTGTTGCTTAATGGCAGCATTCAGAGATCAAATTTGTCTTATATAATTCAATTAGACGAATTTGATTCCTGAATAACAAGGTTTGGCATAGATGAGACGAAATTGAATACTCTGGGACGAAAACGTGTGCTCATTGTTTGAATTTGCTTGAACTAAATTTGAAAGGTCTGACAAAAGACAAATTAAACATTGGAAGTGCACTAAATCGATCTTGATGGACGAATTTGAATATTAGAAAAGGTGAATTCGAATGATAAATGTTTTTTTAAAAAGCCGGGAAAACCTATTTTATAGTGTCATGGATTCATCACGGAGTGTACAAGGTAATACAAGTGATGACGGGTTAAATTATAGTAAATTAAGTGGCCTTTTGTAAAAACAACTTTGATGGTGTGATTTTTTTGTTAGTTTTAAGAGAATGTTTTAGAACACATCCCACAGTGTGAGCTGACGGTTGAACCGGGTTCATGTTACTGCTGGTATTTCAAAACAACAGTGATGGCTTATTTCACCACTGAACCATGCAAACTTAACAATTCATTGTACAACAGTAAGAGCTGATCCTTGAATTTTGAATTGAGTTTTGCAATAGTAAATGTTCTTATTCCAGATTTTTAATGAATCCCTTTTGAAAATGAAATCCCTGAGGTTTAGTACCCTAACGTTTAATGCCGATTATTTCATGGATTTGTCATTTTCTCCCAATCTCACCCCTGTATTAAAAATCACCTGATCTCTAACTTTGATCTGTGTAAATTTCTCACCAATCATTCTCACAGATTTCTTGTAGCAAGAAGGTCCTTTTCCCCCCAAGATATTTTGTGAGGCTGTGAACTACAAATATGAATTACTTATCAGAACCAAAGAAAGTCTTAGGCTGTTATATTATTCTTCTGCTTTTTTTTTCAGCGATGTGAGGTTATCCATCCTGCAGCAAGTCAAGTGGACGCCGGTGGACAAGCGCTCAGTGGTCAACGCAGTGGCTAGAGAGCAAGTCTTAGAGTTTGCCGTCCGGTTCAAGGAGTTGCTGTTTATTGAAGGACTGGTGCAGGGAAACTTCACTGCCAAGGTGAAGATGACCTAGGAACATGTGAATGCGTTCTGTCAAAAACAGACTCTTCTGGGCAGCTGGGCAGAAGGTTTTTCTCAAATATACAGTGGAACATCCCTATAACGAACATCGTGGGATCCACAGAAATTGTTCGGAATAGCGATTTTAAGCCGATTTTTACCAGCTTGTGGTTTTTTCACACATTAATGGCGCCCTCTTTTGACCATTGTTATAGTGTAGTTGCATTTACACACTTTTCAATTCCGTAAGCAAATCTTCACCCTGTACGCCCTGGTAGTTACTGAAAGACGACTTTGATCATGTAATTACACAGTTTTTGAGCTCACACAGGTGGCTTTCCCTTCTATTCCTTGAGGAAGTAGTAGTCATTTGTCGCTCTTCTGTTGACATTTTTCAACAAGAATGTTCGGTACTTTTGGTACACAAAAATTGGGATTCAAGGATTATGTTCGGTATTATACAAATAATGAATGTTTGTGAGTGCAATGGTAAGAATAATTTCATGAGGTGACAGATGAAATGTTCCATTCCACGAGGCGAAGCCGAGTGAAATGGAACATTTCATCTGTCACCAAATGAAATTATTCTTTCCATTGCACGAATGTGAAACATTCATTATTTGTTTTATATAACACCTGAATAAATCCTTGTCATCTGATTGGTTGACTTTTAATAGCCAATTTGTTCAGGTTAAAAACTGTTTAAAAGTTCGACAAGTTCATCATATTTATATTAATGCAAACTGTTCGACAGGTTAAGAACAATCATATTCAATTTATCTCGATTTAAAACAGCGCCACCACCAGCAGCAGTGACACCGTGCAATGGAAGTTCTATTCACAGTGCAATAGAACTTCCATTGCACTGTGCGCTGCGCGCCACGCGCGCGCCGTGTGTTGGTACGAATAATTCAATGACATGTGATCAACGATCCACCAATCAGATGACTGGGATTTATTCAGGTGTTGTATAAAGCCGAATGTTCGGTATAGCGACGTTCCATATACGTGTAAATACAGATCTCCCTTTTGATGGTGACAATTTAAGTTTTGGAAAAAGACTATCTTTGGCCCACCAGGCCGGCATTTATCTCCGATTTTCTTTGCCTAAAATGATAGAATATTTCAAGTTAAACCCCAGCTAATGCCAGTACCACTGTGTACTATTTGGTGGAGAGAGGCACACGGAGATGATGTGGCTTGCCCAAGGACACAACATATGGCCAGCAGCAGGAGTCAAACCCCAGACCCACTGATCATGAGTCATGAACACTAACCACTAGGCCACACTCCCCTCAACCATTTATAATGTACATGTACATGTAATACAATCTGTAGTTTGTCAGGCATTTGAATTTTTAATTTTAATTTTTTTAAGGGGGGTGTTACATTGAACCTTTCATTATTTTTTTTTGTTCAGAATGTATGAACATTTGTTTTTGCATCTAACATTTGTTTTTGCTGTAATCATTATTGGGTAGAGCCATTAAAAGCGATGTTTTCTTCTCTTCTCACAGGAAGCTCTTGGCTTCACGGAGTCCCTCAGCACCAAACTGGGCTGCACCCCCCTGCCCAAAGTGCAGATGCCCAAGACCAGGGTCGTCCGGCTGCCCTCGGGGGGTCAGGTGTGCAAGGTCAAAGGATACAATGAGAAGGATGCCAACTCGGTGGTGACCAACTACTACCAAGCTGGTCCTGGGACGATCAGACGACTCAGTGTCATCGATGTACTTATCGTAAGAATCTCAGTGAAATCTTGTTGATTTTAAGCGCAGAAATTTGCTAGGCATAAATAATTATTCGCTTAGCAACAACAGGGAACCAGCAAATATGTCATGCAATGTACATTGCTTTTGACTGGTTCTCAGTTGATGTTTGCTTAATTACTCAAAATTTGATAATTAGTATTTTTTTCCCACTCGGCAGCTTTGAAGTCAAGTCCTGTTCTTATGTCAATCAATCTGTCAGTCCATTTTAGTGGCGGTCTGTTTAACTAGTAAAATGTTCATCCTTCACCAATCATTTCGACCAGAGAGACACATCTTATATTCCTTTTTGTCCTGAAGGGGTTTGGGGGGGGGGGACTTTAGAAACTAAGTGGGGTGGGGGGGGGGACGTCATATGAAAGTGCATTCAGTATGATGTACATGTATATAGAAGTAAAGTGTTAACCGTCGTATACCTGTATGAAAGTTCTCTGGGTCGTCCAATTTTGGGTTATCTTATAAATTGGGGTCCACTTTAAATTTGTTCCTGTCCCTTTTACATCTGACATTCTTGATTTTATAATCCTGATGCACTTCTTAATCCAACCCCTTCAATGATTCAGTAGGAACAGTCCTTACTCTTGCGAAATTCAACACCATACTGTTGGACTCGGATTATGGTGGTATGCCTGACCCATGTAAAGCATAATCAGTTTAATAGTGCAGTACTCACTCCAACAGACTCCAACAAAACATGCACTTAGATTTTGAATGGTTGGGTTGTTAAGGTTAATGCAGTCGTCCTCGGAGAGCGAATATGAATAGCACACTATCTACCCAATAAATTGTAACAAAAAATTATTTGAAGTCATTCTTAGTGATTCTTGCATGGCAAATTACATCGCTCGGAGGTACATTGGGACTGGAAAAATAAGACACTTTGGTACCTAAATTTATATAATGACCCTTTTATAAAAGGCGTGTCTACAAATTGGGAATATTTGGATTTTGTTCGTATGCGAACACTGCCTTGTCTAGACTTTCCTTGCCTTCCAACCCTGGTGAACCCTGTTTGAATGTACTACTCCTCATTTCCATTTGATTTTACAGACGATGATGGAGGAACCCTGTTTTGATATTTTGAGAACTCAGGAACAACTAGGGTAAGTTTGAGCATTTTACAGCTCTTTAAAGTTTGGTAAATGACTGTAAAAACCGTCAACTTGCTTTTATATAGTGAACAATTGTGTGAGTTAAAAAGTGTATGTTCTTGTAAGCCAAGTCTTCAGAACTGTGTTTGTTATAGAGCGAAGTTACTTTTTTTTGTCTTGTACAGGTACAGTGTGTATCCAACCTGTCGCAACAGTTTCGGCATCCTTGGGTTCTCTGTAACCGTGGCAACTCAAGCTACTAAATTCAGGTAAGCTTTGAGTTTCCAGTTCTAAAATGTGCCCAGGGAACCATTAACTCTACTTGTGATTTTTGTTTGTCCTGCAAGATTTTAAACAAACCCTGGAATAATGAATACATTTCTTACAATACCACCTTAAAGCTTATAAATTGGGCTTTCACATCTAAGATTTTAAAAGTGCTATATGCAGAACTTCTTTAAAAAATAGAGGTTGCTTTTTGGGTTTCCTTTTTCTTTTTGACTCGCCCTGTATCCGCTCCATTCACAAGTACCCCTTCACCGGCAAAGGAAGTACAGTTGGGGGTGCGGGGCCACTGCGTGTACATAGAACAAATCCCCTGGTGTACGCGCGTCACACACAAGGAACGGTGCGCGTCAACCTGCGAAATGTACCGCCCATGGGACGTCGTTGCTAGGTAAAAGGGCGCCCTCTTTTGGTAGCGCATAGAGCTCATACACCCACGGCATTATAATCTCAGAAACCCCCCCCCCCCCCAGGAATCTAGGAGGTCGGAATGATCCAACAGTCCAAACCCCATTCTGTACTCAAGAGACCTAGGGAGTACCCAAAACCTGTTACATTATGGGAATATCGAAATGATAATTGCCAATGATTATTATTATTTTTATTATTATTTATGCATTTCTGGTAATGAAACCAAGCATTCCTCAAAAGCGCAGTTCGCAAGCCCGAAGAAACCTGTGGACAGGAGACAGTGATAAGAAATTACTGTTTAAGAGGTTGGAGGAAAACCCCAGAAGAATATTCTGGGCAAAACCCACGGAATCAGGTAGGGACTGAAAAGCCAATCCCTATATTGCCCAGGCAGGATTCGAACCCGGGTCACAGCCATGGGACGCAAGGAAAGAACCACTACGCCAACCTGGGAAGAAATCCTCCCGGTGTGTTTTAATTCCATAGGGAAGTAATTGGTCTCCACATTTGCAGTCGGAATCAATGACGGAGGGACTCTATATGTTGAATTGCCTGAATTGATGAAAGCTTTTTCTGGACAGTGTGTCTCATGTCGAAGAACGCATCGACTCGTTCCTTCAGAGTTTCCTCGGCAAGATGCGGACCTCGTCCTCCATGGAGAAAGACTTCAAGACCCAGGTGGAGTCCCTGATCACTCTCAAGCAGTGCGTGGATAACCACCTGGGGGAGGAGGTGGACCAAAACTGGTGGGAGGTCCTGAATCACACCTACATCTTTGATCGGCTGAAACGAGAGGCGAGTTTTTGACCTTCGTTTGGAATTTTGCCTCAAAGAGATGTAAACTTGTAACTTGGTAGAAGACGAAGAAGGAAATTATACTGAATGACATTCCAGGGAAACCCACAGAGTGAGGTAGGGACTGAAAACCCTATCCATGCGGGAATCGAACCCGGATCACAGCAGTGGAAGGCGAGAAAAGTACCGCTATGCCGACCTGAACCCTTTTCAGACCAAGCAGGTCATGGCTCATCAAAGCAATTTTGTGAATTTTTGCCTCACATCTCTCTGATTGAAAAAAAAAACCTGTCCAATTTCTAGGAGTTAATGTTTTTTTTGGGTTCATTTCTTGGCAGGTTGAAGCTCTAAGAAGTGTCTCCCTACAAGAGGTCCAAGACTTTCTTTGCAATCACATCCAGGGAGGTGTCCACTTCCAGAAACTCAGTTCACAGGTGAGACAAACACTCTACAGTATACTCACAGTATATTCGGACAGCCCTAGTTGCCACAGCAAATTACTAAATGCATAGTTACCAAGAGGATTTTTCTGATCCAATTTCTGCAGTGAACAGAAATATTTGCCTTGCTTGAATATATCCCCTTTTTTTTTCTTCCTGCGAACATTTTAGGTTGTTGGGGTCGGGAAACTAGAGAGGCACAATCAGAGCGTCACGGCAACGGAAACCATGACAACAGTGGACGGAATCACCAATGAAACTGAGACGAACACAAGAACAAGTTTGGTGTTTTTGCCGCTCGACGAAACAGACAGCAAGAAAGTGGTTGACGCGATAGATTCTTTCAAAGCCAGTTTGACTGTATACCCGGTCACCAAAATAGACCACTGATGAACGGTTTACCTTGTCCAAATAATTGGGACTTGTAATATAAGTGATTATAACACCTCACCCTCAGATTCTGTGTCTTGATTGGCCGAGAGAAAGTCACATGGTACTTTCTATTTTTGCTATCTTTCAGTGCACGTCCAAAAGTACTATACCCGTAGCAACCAAAGCAGTATACATTACGTGAAGGGGTGGTTTGGAAGAGAGAAATACATTTCCCACCAATTTTGTATTGAAATTGAAGTTTATTTTAACTGTGTTCAGATTTAAACAATTTCAAATATTCTAACCAAGCAGAATCTGTGGATGAAGTATTATGAAACAAATATTGAAGGCTTTGGTGTGTAGTATGCAAGCCAAACATCAGGGGTCATTTTGTTATAAGTGCACAATTTTTTTGGAAAGTAGTATCAGACGCCACTTCATCGGTTGTGTACAAAGTCTATTGAGAGTCAAGAACATTTTTTAAGTATTTCCTAACAATGTTGAAAATGTTTTTCAGTCCCAAATTCATGTCTTTTCAACATTTTTTTGCAATGACCGACCTTTATTGAGATAAAAAGTGGCGTCAGGTTGCAACAGTCTCTGTGTATGCTTTCAGCATGCTTCATGGGCCAAATTTGATTAGTGCTGTGCATTTCCAATTAATTGAGTATTCGATTATTGGAGCTTGGATTTGATCAAATATGAGAATGTTGGACCATTGATTTTGAAGTGGAAATTTTTTATGAATTATGTATCGATATATTTTTTCGAGATAGCTAACTGGCTGGTATTTGACAGATTTTAGGAAATTATCTCGAATCATGATTGTAAAAGTGGCTGTTCACAAAAATGTGGCAGTGGACAAACAATAAAACCTCTCAACTTATCCAAATAAATTTGCAACACAGATATTTTTGTAATCTCGACACAGCTCACATTGTTGAAATATTTAACTTGAAATATTTATGTGGATATTCTGTGGATGATTGAATATTTCGATATTGGGTATATTCGGCAAAACCCTAAATTTGATGCAAACTTTCTGTGTGCCTGCCACTAACAACACAATAAAACGCTCATTTTCCGATTGAGCGTTTTAATTTTGGTTTTGATATTGCACCCTTTTTGGTTTTCAGAACACATTCCAACTCGATTTAGGGACTGATATATCAATAAAAAGAAATTCATATTTTGGCCAAATTTCATTAAAAAAAGTAAGGTTAACTAACCCCTTGTAATTTTTGTCCATTTTGGTCAATAAATGAAATTGCTCCAAACTTCCTTGAAAGACTCCTGAGGGCCCCTCGAACACATTGCAACTCGATTTCGGGATAGAGTTTGTCATTAAGAAGAAATTCATATCTTGTCCAAATTTCATTAAAAATGTAAGGCTACCCCTTGCAATTTTTGTCGATTTTGGTCAAGAAATGCAATTGCTCCTTACTTCCTGGAAAGACTCCTCAGGGCCCCTCGAACACATTCCAACTCGATTTAGGGACAGATATATCAATACAAAGAAATTCATATCTTGTCCAAATTTCATGAAAAAAGTAAGGCTAACCCCTTGCCATTTTTGTCAATTTTGGTCAAAAATGCAATTGCTCCTAACTTCCTGGAAAGACTCCTCAGGGCCCCTCGAACACATTCCAACTCGCTTTAGGGACAGATATATCAATACAAAGAAATTAAAATTTTGGCCAAATTTCATTAAAAATGTAAGGCTAACCCCTTGCAATTTTTGTCGATTTTGGCCAAAAAATGAAATTGCTCCTTACTTCATATCTTGGGCGTCGCCAGGATTTTTTCTAGAGGGGGGCAAAAAAAAATTTTGACCAAAAATGCTTGTATTTTTCAACACATTTTCGATTTATCAGTTTTAGAGGGGGCAGGGACATTTTGCCCCCCCCCCCCAACTCATTAAATTTACACTACTTTGTCTTCGCGCCTCTTTTTCTTTTTTTTTCTTTTCTTTTTTTTGCGTCCTTTTTTTTTTTTTTTTTTTTTTTGCTTTTCCAGGGGGGGGGGGGGGGGGGGGGGGGGGTGGGGCAAGTGCCCCCCTTGCCCCCCCCCCCCCCCCCCTCGCGACGCCCATGTCCTTACTTCCTGGAAAGACTCCTCAGGGCCCCTCGAACACATTCCAACTCGATTTAGGGACAGATATATCAATACAAAGAAATTCATATTTTGGCCAAATTTCATTAAAAATGTAAGGCTAACCCCTTGTAATTTTTGTCAATTTTGGTCAAAAATGAAATTGCTCCTTACTTCCTGGAAAGATTACTCAGGGCCCCTCGAACACATTCTAACTCGATTTAGGGACAGATATATCAAAACAAAGAAATTCATATTTTGGCCAAATGTCATTAAAAATGTAAGGCTAACCCCTTGCAATTTTTGTCGATTTTGGCCAAAAAAATGCAATTGCTCCTTACTTCCTGGAAAGACTCCTCAGGGCCCCTCGAACACATTCCAACTCGCTTTAGGGACAGATATATCATTACAAAGAAATTCATATTTTGGCCAAATTTCATTAAAAATGTATGCAATATTTGTCGATTTGGGTCAAAAATGAAATTGCTTCTAACTTCCTGGAAAGACTCCTCAGGGCCCCTCCAACACATTCTAACTCGATTTAGGGACAGATATATCAATACAAAGAAATCCATATCAATACAAAGAAATCCATATTTTGGCCAAATTTCATTAAAAATGTAATGCAATTTTTGTCAATTTTGGTCAAAAATGAAATTGCTCCTAACTTCCTGGAAAAATTCCTTGGGGCCCCTCGAACACATTCAAACTCGATTTAGGGGCATATATATCAACAAAAAGATCTTCATATTTTGGCCAAATTTCATGAAAAAAGTAAGGCTAACCCCTTGCAATTTTTGTCAATTTTGGTCAAAAATGAAATTGCTCCTTACTTCCTGGAAAGATTCCTCAGGGCCCCTCGAACACATTCTAACTCGATTTAGGGACAGATATATCAAAACAAAGAAATTCATATTTTGGCCAAATGTCATTAAAAATGTAAGGCTAACCCTTGCAATTTTTGTCGATTTTGGCCAAAAAAATGCAATTGCTCCTTACTTCCTGGAAAGACTCCTCAGGGCCCCTCGAACACATTCCAACTCGATTTAGGGACAGACATATCAATACAAAGAAATTCATATCTTGTCCGAATTTCATGAAAAAAGTAAGGCTAACCCCTTGCAATTTTTGTCAATTTTGGTCAAAAATGAAATTGCTCCTAACTTCCTGGAAAGACTCCTCAGGGCCCCTCGAACACATTCCAACCCGATTTAGGGACATATATATCAACAAAAAGAAATTCATATTTTGGCCAAATGTCTTTAAAATGTAAGGCTAACCCCTTGCAATTTTGTCGATTTTGGTCAAAAAATGAAATTGCTCCTAACTTCCTGGAAAGACTCCATAGGGCCCCTCAAACACATTCCAACTCGATTTAGGGACAGATATATCAATACAAAGAAATTCATATCTTTTCCAAATTTCATGAAAAAAGTAAGGCTAACCCCTTGCAATTTTTGTCGATTTTGGCCAAAAAATGCAATTGCTCCTTACTTCCAGGAAAGACTCCTCAGGGCCCCTCGAACACATTCCAACTCGATTTAGGGACAGATATATCAATTCAAAGAAATTCATATTTTGTCCAAATTTCATGAAAAAAGTAAGGCTAACCCCTTGCAATTTTTTGTCAGTTTTGGTCAAAAATGAAATTGCTTCTAACTTCCTGGAAAGACTCCTCAGGGCCCCTCCAACACATTCTAACTCGATTTAGGGACAGATATATCAATACAAAGAAATCCATATTTTGGCCAAATGTCATTAAAAATGTAATGCTAACCCCTTGCAATTTTTGTCAATTTTGGTCAAAAATGAAATTGATCCTAACTTCCTGGAAAAATTCCTCGGGGCCCCTCGAACACATTCAAACTCGATTTAGGGACATATATATCAACAAAAAGATCTTCATATTTTGGCCAAATTTCATGAAAAAAGTAAGGCTAACCCCTTGCAATTTTTGTCAATTTTGGTCAAAAATGAAATTGCTCCTTACTTCCTGGAAAGATTCCTCAGGGCCCCTCGAACACATTCTAACTCGATTTAGGGACAGATATATCAAAACAAAGAAATTCATATTTTGGCCAAATGTCATTAAAAATGTAAGGCTAACCCCTTGCAATTTTTGTCGATTTTGGCCAAAAAAGTGCAATTGCTCCTTACTTCCTGGAAAGACTCCTCAGGGCCCCTCGAACACATTCCAACTCGATTTAGGGACAGACATATCAATACAAAGAAATTCATATCTTGTCCGAATTTCATGAAAAAGTAAGGCTAACCCCTTGCAATTTTTGTCAATTTTGGTCAAAAATGTAATTGCTCCTAACTTCCTGGAAAGACTCCTCAGGGCCCCTCGAACACATTCCAACCCGATTGAGGGACATATATGTCAACAAAAAGAAATTCATATTTTGGCCAAATGTCTTTAAAAATGTAAGGCTAACCCCTTGCAATTTTTGTCGATTTTGGTCGAAAAATTAAATTGCTCCTAACTTCCTGGAAAGACTCCTCAGGGCCCCTCGAACACATTCCAACCCGATTGAGGGACATATATGTCAACAAAAAGAAATTCATATTTTGGCCAAATATCTTTAAAAATGTAAGGCTAACCCCTTGCAATTTTTGTCGATTTTGGTCGAAAAATTAAATTGCTCCTAACTTCCTGGAAAGACTCCTCAGGGCCGCTCGAACACATTCCAACTCGATTTAGGGACATATATATCAACAAAAAGAAATTCATATTTTGGCCAAATGTCTTTAAAAATGTAAGGCTAACCCCTTGGAATTTTTGTCGATTTTGGTCAAAAAATTAAATTGCTCCTAACTACCTGTAAAGACTCTTCAGGGCCCCTCGATTTAGGGACAGACATATCAATACAAAGAAATTTATATCTTGTCCAAATTTCATGAAAAAAGGTAAGGCTAACCCTTGCAATTTTTGTCAATTTTGGTCAAAAATGAAATTGCTCCTAACTTCCTGGAAAGACTCCTCAGGGCCCCTCGACCACATTCCAACCCGATTGAGGGACATATATGTCAACAAAAAGAAATTCATATTTTGGCCAAATGTCTTTAA